GCATGAGGTAGTCAAACAGTGACCAACCAGCTTCTTGCAACTTGACAGGCACTCAAACAAAGAATGCCGCATGCACTGGCTGTCAAAATCTGGGACCCCTTGACATGTGGCTCACCGCTGTTTCCTTCAGCAGCCATAGGGACGCTCCGTACCAGTTTTTGGCACATTCCCTCCCCTGCCACCCTGCAGTTCTCTCGCCAAGGCTCTGTCCCGGGCTCCAGCATCTGCAACGGCACAGCGTGGCCCAACTGAGCGCGGCAGCGTCCAGACTTTCAATCGGTTGGCTTCCAGTGGCGCTTAAAAACAGCACCGCGTTCGCATGGAACAAGGCTAGATGAACTTGGTACACAGAAATAGGATCCTGCCTAGTATGTTCAGTTTGCACTTAGGTTCGCAAAACACTGAGCAGCAAGTCGACGTGGCAGCCGTCATGAATGGGAGTGCGAAAGGTAAAAGCAAAGTGGAAGCATGCTAAATCAAGCCTGCTAGGCAAGTGTTCTTTTGACGGCAAAGGAAATGCGGGTCAATGGCTTAGACTAATCCACACAAAGAAGATTAGGGCCACACAACATGAACGAAATAATGACGCAAGTGATCTCTAATCCAGACGTAACATAGCCAATTCAAAGCAGCCGAGGGATCATGGGCCCTAAGAGAATACAATCCGAGCACCCACTTCTCCTGCGGCCAGGGACCTGTTCATCGCGCCCGTGACAGAACCCCAGCAGCCAACTATGTTTTCTCAACAAAAGAAGGGTGTGTCTTTTTATAGATCCCCCAAAGTGGCTTCAAGCGGTGTTCCTTTTGGTTTCCCCCACCCAAAAAGACAAACGGGGGTACCAACCAACCACCCAAAAAAGAACAACACAAAACCCAGTTGCGCAAAATGTCGACTCCCTGAAACCGCTTCGTCCATGGACCGGCTTTGATCCAGCCCAACCGGGCTAAGGGAAAACCACATCAGCATCCATCTAGCGCCCACTCGCGCGGAGCGGACGGCGGACGGCCCATCGAGCCGAGCGGATCCTTCTTTCCGGACCTCCGGAAGCAAAGGGAAAACGGATCTGGTTTAATGGAAAGAACGATGATTGAAAATAGTGGGGCATCAAACCCTAGAATATGTATATATATATATGTATATACATATATATATATATATAATGCCTGTAGAATGGGAATCAGAGTATACCCCCTATCCCAATTTTTGCCTATATCAACCCCTTCAAAAGAAAGGTTGGACTCAGCCTGAAAGTCTCTCAGGCCGTCGCCCTGCGGCTTTGACTTGTCGCCACCCAGTGGAAGCCCGCCGCCCGCTCCCAAAGGCTGAGTCCTAACGAGGCGAGAAAATGGTCCCTTTGAGACGGACCAATGTCGGGTAGGGTTCTGGTGGAAGCAAACTGACATTTTGTAGAAAATGGTTTTGAACCCAGGGCGGAAAATCAGAAGACCGAAATTCAGTGATAGCAAAAGGGTTGAACCCTGTCGACAGACAGCAACCAATACAACTGTCTATCAACAAGATCATGACAAACGTGAAACCTATGGAAATATGTCTTATACTTGGGTGAACATTCAATGATGCCCCTTGCAGAAGAAGGCAAGGGAAACAGGGCATTGCCCCTTGCCAAACATGTAAGGACCCCGTCTTAAGCTGTGTCAAGGGCACTCTGCTTGAATGTTTGAGGCCATGAACAAAACACAAAACAGGCTTTGATGCCACAAAGCAAGTCAACAAGGAAATCAAGAACCAGCGAGGTGGATGATCTCAAGTTGCGAACAAATCAACGCGAGACCTTTGAATCAAGCAGGTTGAAAGAAGGCAAATACAAAACTGTAACCTAGCCATCAACCTATTGGAAACACCTGGCAACGCAAACAAGTCTTCTGAGTGGGGGGGAAGGGGATGGCCTTCTCAGAGCCATTCAGAACAGCTCTCCGAGCACTCCGGTGCGCTGACTCCATGGGTTTTGCCCTACCGAAGCTTGCAGGTTACCTAGTCTTGCCAGCTTGGAAGTGCACATGAAACCATCTTCCATGTCTGGAAGACACCTTCGCGCCACGCATGTGATACTGATTATGTTCCGTCCTTCCGACTTCAAGATCGCCTCCACAGTACTTCCTCCTGGCGCAAACACATGGCTGAACGGTCTCTGGCACTCCGCTGGCAGCTGAGAGGATACTCGATGCCATGGCGCGATCAACACATGCCAAGGCGTGATCAACACATGCCAAGGCGTTCACGTCAGTCACGGTCAAGTTGATTGACTGGATCAAAGAAATACACGGAAATAATCTCGCTCAGAAAAACGCAGCAAAACCAAGCAAATAACCTGCAAATAACCAAGCTCCATGAAAAGCCGACCACATCTACTTCATCATCTGGGTTGCAGAAACACAAAACACGGGGTCGAGCAAAGGCAGCTCCTTTGAGGCGTGCCCCATAAGGGGGCCAGTTCCCTTAATGAAGCGGGCCGGGGTCAAGCCGGTTGCGTCTGCGTAGAGCTGTCTCTGCACCACAAATGTTGGGCTCTACCCGCGACACTTGTGTTGCTTCATGCACCTTAGGCTCAAGTTGAACCGGTGCGCGCTGCATTGCATAGCAATGGCACGTCTAGTCCTGTAGCTGAAAACACTATGTTTGCTCTAAATAGGCGAACCCTCGCGCAATTCATTTTTTGCAGTTTGATTGAAGCATCTGTAGATGGTTGCAGTTCTGCGGGTGCAAGTTTGCAAAGCTAACGCCATGTGAGTCACAATCAAAACCCGGTATTAACATGGTCTACCCAGAACCATGCTTAAATAATTAAGAAAGCGGCCGCAACTATTTCTGGCTGGGACTGCCCCTTACCAACCTTCATCTACCCGAGTCGGATTTGAGCAAGTGGCTCATGTCCGCCAAGCGTCCTGGAAAGCGTAGCACGCGCTGCCTCCCACGGGCGCTCACCGCCAAGACCACCGTGGCATTGGCGCCTGTCGAGAGAGGTGTGCTCCATGCGGCAGATGGGTCTCTCTTTTTTTAAGCGTGACTCTTTGGCGGACATCATGTTCTAGGTCCTCCAGTAGAGAGAGGTTGGAAGAAGGGTACCACCTTTTTTCTGTAGTGTATTTTAGCAGGGGAATCCTCCCCCCAAAAAGTTGGTAAAAGGGCACTACTGGTGGACCTAGTGTTGGTGGACATTCATGTCCACCCACAGCGTGAAAGGTGGGCCCCCACTAAACATCATAGCCATATGCTTAGGCAACTTAGCAAGTCCAAGGGTCAATCCACCCTTCATGAAACGGAGATCAACAGCGGAGGTATGCAAAACGCAAGAGGGTGCTGCAGCTCCCCTTCGAAACTTGACGACACAACCTAGCCAGCTACGTTGATCTGCAAACAGACCCCAAACATACAGTGCACATGCCAGGACCTGTCTCTGGGACGGTCGGACCCTGCCTGGCTGAGGGGTCTGCTGCAGCTGACGACTTGGGCCTGAGCTTAGGCTTGCGCGATGTGATTCGTGAAACTCGCCCACAAAGGTAGTCAGTTGGCCACCTGTCAAAAGCCCGTACCCCCAGTGAACATCCCAATCCTAACCAAAATAGACTAAAATGGGTGGTGCACCTACCCCAAGATGGTACCATTGGTTCTGGCCCACAGCCAGTTGGCTTGCGGACCGAGCAGGCAGAGGCAACGTGGCGCAACCCGTAATGGCGCTGCGGAGCAAATCAATCGCACGGCTGCATGCGACCACCTTCCAGCCGTCACCCCGCAGCATTTCTTTGGTGCGGCTGCTCCATCGGATGAAATTGCCAATTTGCAGAAAGCAACATGGTCTCCACGGCGGGAGCCGGGCAACTCCAATCTGAGCAGAAGTTATGACAACTAATCTGAGTTTCACATTTCTTGAATTCCCGACTTGAGGCTTCACCATCCGGTGAGAAGGAAGCCAATCATCACCAGGATCCATAATGTGGCGCGGCAACTACATGTTACTGTTACGGGTGGCTCCTGTACCACCCACAGAGCTCGGCCTTTAGTGGACCCTGTGGTTGCAGATTGCTGTGCGTCATGTCAGTTCATGCCTACTACATCCTGCTACTTCCATTGCACGCTTTGCCCAAGATTACCTCAGCAGTAGTAATTACAGTCCTCTATTGGGACGATTCCTCCACCTTACCTTAACCCCCCCCCCCCCCCCCCGGGGGCAATACGGTTGTCAACATGTCTCGCTGCCGAGCTGCGCGGCGGCTTGGCCTGCAGTGCACCTGGGAGTCTACCAGCCAAGAACCGCCACGCAAGCGGTGAGATATGGGGGTGGCTCAAAATGAAAGAGCTATGGTTACGCAGGTTTTAGTCATTGTTGCCATTTGCCAGGGTGCCATGTTGGGAACTCCTTGTGAGCCACAGCCATATAGAGAAAGGCAACCAGCCGTCCAATGCACACATTGTGATTTGGGAGAGGATGCTGCATCTGCGGAAAATTGTGACGCTTCGTCGGCCTCCAAAAAAGGCCTGCCAGCCCGGCAGCATACAACGTTGCACATTGAGCATTCAACAGTGTTGAGGTCACCTTGGCAACTGGTGAGTTGCTGCAACTTGTCCAACACCTGATCAAAACAACTCAAGTCGGCCATGCTTCATAAGCAATCGACTGCAAGGAACTTGCCAGGGCAAGTGCCGCTGTGTAAATGTGTTATGACGTACAAGGAATGTTCCCTCCCAGGATCCTTAGGTTCCAGCTCAGTGAAGGTGAAAACGAGCCAACACAAAGCTGTCTTAAGTCCAATCCGACGCACAAGTATGATCCGGATGTCAGAAGCCGCGCTTTAAGAACAAGCACCACGACGGCGCATGCCATGTCAACTTCTTCTATTCACAAGGAGCGCGCATCCGCTTGCCATCTTTGTAGCAGCGTGCTCCCCGCAGCATTCAACGTAAGCGAGCCAGTTTGGCAGTGCAGAAAATGACATTATGATGACCAAATGCTGCAAGACACATCCGATTCGATCGCTGAACATCAGCTCTTCAACTTCTTCATCCGAACCTGAGTCATACATCTTCTCGGCTTGAAAAAGTGGTTCAAGTGCTCTCCAGTCTTGAGATCCCACAAGTCCACGTTGTAGTCCCAAGAAGCGGTCACCAATCGGCCCCTTTCCCAGTCAGCATCCAATGCCAGGGTCATGTCATGCATACAATCCAAAGACCGTTCCCACTCACCAGTTTCCAGGTCCCATATTTTCACCAAACCATCATCCGAACCGCTGGCCATTTTCCCTGTCTCCAGGTCCATGTGCAAGCAATTCACGTTGTGGCCTGGTGACTCGTAGGTCTCAAGCAATTTCCGCTGTCTGAGGTCCCACATCAGAAAGCGATACTCATTCGCAGAAGACATGGCGACATGCTTGTTGAAGTCAACGTGCAGCGCGCAGCAGTTGGCGTTGTGACCGGCAAGGCAATGGACCAGCTTGGGGCTGCGTAAGTCATATATATGCACATTGGAGTCCCATGAGCACGAAACCACAATGTTCTCATCCCACTCCACCGCAATTTTCCGGCAGTGGTCCTTGTGTCCCAGAAGTGACATGAGAAACTGCTTCGTCTGGAGGTCCAGCAGTTTGATGCACCCAAAGTTCGTGCCAACCGCCGCCTTCCCAAGCTCTAAGTCGCAATCCACGCAGAGCAGCAGCTGATTGGGTTGATTGTCCCGGACTTCGGTCTTCACGGAGTCTTTCTGCAGGTCGTACAAGCTCACCTTGCCGTCCAAACCTCAGAATCTCAAGCTCGGACAGGGGGGGCTGTCCCGCGTCCTCCTTTCCCCCGATTCAAACTCAGAAAAAGGTCCTGATTCGTGGAAGATAGCATGAAGTCTGTGGCAAACGGTGTCGCTGATGCCGTTGGATTCATGTTCTGGTTTGCCAACTATACTGACTCATACAAGCCATGACTGTGTGAGTGAAGCAATCAAGAACCTGCGAAGCAAAGCCGGACAACCAACATCAGAATGAAGCTGTTGTGAGCTACCCACCGAATAGCCGCTGTTCCAAGTCTTGACATCCAGCCACTCGGGCTTCGGTTGTCATGTCCTTGACTTCATCTGGCTGCATATTGCGCTAGCCATGATCAGAGTTGGGCCCAGTTATAGAATGCAGACTTTATTGTTTGCTTCACTTTGAGTCACTGGTAAAATGTAAAATGTATCCTAAGTCTACCACAGTAGCATCCTTCCAGGCAGTTCTGTTCGCAGCATCTCAATGTCCAGTGTGCCTATAGCACTGGCAGAGTACAAGCCAAGGTTGCCTTACAAGGTACTGCGTCATCAGTTCCGACAGAATACCCCAAGAACAAGTGCGGCAGTACAAAGACCCCGTTTGCTTCTAGAGTTCTGTGTTGTCTGCGCTTTCAAGCTCAACCTCAAAATTGTGACCTTTTAGTGCAAGGGCAGTACATGAAGCACACCTTCTCAGCTCCAGCTCGGGAAATCGCAACCCTTCAGTATAAGCGATGGACTCGAAGTAAGCTCAAAAAATATCGCAACTGTTCAGTGCACGTGTAGGACACGAAGTACTCTTTGGAAGCTCCAGCTGAAATGTACAATGTTCAGTACACGTGCAGCACACAAAGCGCAGTTTGGCAGCTCCAGCTTGAAAAACATAACTTTCGGCAAGAAACGTTGGTGTGAGGAAAGGCGCACAAAAGCAATTTCGTTGCAAAACACAGTCGTTTTCGTTCTCGTGTTGTTGTCGTTTCTGTGTGCATGACAGACCTGCGTGCTGCCAACCATTGAAACAAACAGAATGCCTACCATCGGTTTTTGGCCATGTACGCATTCTTCAGATTCCGGCGTCGAAGTCTTTCAATGTGAGTCTTTGGGTGAAGAACTTCTTCCGGTGCGAATCAAGCACCGCTCAAGCGGTTCTTATACCGACGCACTCGTGGCTGCCTGCCAGGCTTTCCTTCATCACTTCTCTTACTGGGTCGGGGTCTTCGCTTTGGTTTACGATCTTTTATAACGAATGCACAGGGGGGGGCACTTGCATACCTGCACATGCACAGTGGGTGTCTGGCCAAACAGAAGAGGACACCCCATTCCTGACAAAACAGAGACACCCACTTAGAAAAAATGGAAACGAGGGCACCGCTGCCAAACCGGGGACAACTTCGGTTCTGGTGATCCAAGCAACCGCAGGTCAATGCCTCCATTCGGTCCCAGTCGATGGAAAAGTCGACGCAGGGAGCGGAGTGCAGCTGTCGACATCGTACCACTGGAGGTACACGGTCTCCTGATTCGCCAACTACAGAAAAACATGGTTTACATGGGGAAGGGAAGGAAGTGGGCAATCTGCAAATAGGGCAGCCTACGTACCTTTTCTTTTAGCTTTTCCTGCTTGAGGAAACAATGCATTTATGTTTAAGACTAAAACACACCCACGTGATGTGTCTAATCGAGGAGCCCTCCAAATGAATAGGATTCCTGTCACCGTCTTTTCAATCTGAGCCAACAAGCAGTCCCGAGCTACCCACACATCTGTGTGTGTGTGTCTCTATTCAACATGGTTAATCGCGATCTACGGCTGTCGTGCGTATATATATATATATATATATGTATAATGCTGCATGCCGATCTGTCTATCTCTAATCGGAGCGCATAGGCAGAATCATGGGATATCAACAACGCTCAGCTTTAGCTCCCCGTTGGGGTAAAACCGTTGCTTGGGCCCTGTCATGGAGAAAAACTTGGGGCAGACGTCTGGTCTCGGAAAATGAGGGGAGGGATGGTGTCCAGCTCGGCCCCTTGAAAACATGACAACACCATAGGAGCTTGCCATTCTATTGGTCTACTATGGATGGACGAAATCCTGCACCACCTAAGTAACCCTGGAATGATAATTCTCCTGTAAATACCAACAAACAATGGTTTCTCATGGTTTCGAAGCGGTGCTGGATTTCTTCCATCCACAGTATCACATCCGATCTAGTGTGGCTGGAAGCATTGTAGAAAGAGACATTTCCGGGGAAGGACGGTGCTGGCATGTCTCTCCCTCTCTCTCTCTCTCTCTCTCTCTCTCTCTCTCTCTCTCTTTATCGTACATTAACGGCATACACTCCCCCCAAAAAACAACAACCTACTAAAAGTGCGGGCCAATGGTTTCCTAAAGGACAGCCCTTGAAATCTTTGCCCGCCTTCAATAATTGGCCAAAGAAAGAGGAAGCCATCGCAGCTGGTGGCAGCAACCCAATCATCAAACTCGTGGAAGGACTCTTTATCTGCAGCGGGCACCTTGACTGCACAGTCGCTAGCGAAAGGAGAAAAAGCGCGGTCTCTGGCCGGTTCGAAAGGGGAAGTGCCAAAAATCAAGCAAACGCTTGTGGCAGTCTGGGGCACAGCCCACTTGGTGTGGAACCTGCTGGTCTCAAGGTGCAAAGGCGCGGTCAGATCGTACTGATCGATCATCCACTTTTCGTGGATCAGCTTCTCCGACAAAAAGCGGCGAGCGTGCTGGCAGTCGAGCACCAGGCGGTCCACGTCGCCGTACCTGGCCTCAAAGAAGCGCATCTCCTCGTCCTGCATGCACCTGCATATGTTTCAAAATAGGGAAACCCCCAAAAAATCGTGGCTTCCTCTTTGGTCTCCCTTTGACACCCAAAAGGGGACGACATACCCACCTGGCGGCTGCAGCCACAATGGCCTCACGCTCCGTGGGGTCCTTGATCCTGGGCATCTTTGTCTCCACATACTTCACAGTCAGCAGGCGCAAGTGCTTGGCCCCCATGATGCCGCGGCCCAGGAAGTACTCGAAATACTGCACGCAGCCCACGGAATCCAGGACCTTGGCCACTTGCAGAAAGCTCATCTTGATGATCTCCCACATCCTGTCATCATCACTGAGTCCGTCCAAGCGCTCGTCGTGCCAAAAGAGGCCTTCCCGCAGCAGCCGATGCTCCCGCTGCTCGTCCAAGTCCTAGGAGCATCCAATTCATCGGATCTGCTGGGCGCGCAGAGTGGGGGACCAAGTAGACAAAGTCGAACACAAGTGACAAACAGTGAGGTGACTGCCTGACAACACTGCCACCAACAACGTATGACGTGAAAAAACACACGCACACAGAACAAGGGAAGGAGCTGCTTGTTGTTCATGTGCAGCGGTCAAATAACTTGCACAAAGAACATCAAATGTCACCCACACAGTACAAAACAGGGTCGTTGATTGGAACCAACCAGAAACAAAAAATGCAAGAGAACTTGCACACTGCAACGTGATGGAACAAAAAATGTGGGGAATCAACTAGAAACTAACCAAACACACAATGGAATATAAGGCGTGCCTCGAATCGAACCCCATCTCGCATTTTCCTGACTTTGGATTTCCAAACACGGAGATACTGTTGACCCCAGATTGATAAACCCCTGTTTATTAATATTGGGTTGGTTCCCTCCAAAAGTGATGAATCCCCACCAAATTCAGGCACGCCCCCCTAGGGATAAACAGGCGTTCCATGACTCCAAAGTCAACATTGAGACGTCTTTTGACGGTTGGATCACCAGATGAGTCACAATCAACATCCGGTACAAAAATGGTCGACCCAAAACCATGCTTCAAGAACTAAGAAGGCGGATATCCGCTATTTATGGGATCGTCCCTAACCTTACCCGAATGGGTTTTGATCAGAAGGCTCAGGCGATCCGAAATCGAAATCGACACATCGCCTTCTCCCAGGCGATGCCCTGCAGCCATTGCTGCACCTCCGCCTCTGAGAGTATCACCTCCGGGGTCTCTGAGTCGATGGGCGGCATGGCGCGTGCCGAGGGCGCAGAGAGCGCGAGCTTCCGGGAAACTCAGTCTGTGGACGTTGGGAATTCGGTGCATCCAAGAGCTACAAAAGCAGAAACTGCATTATGAGGCAAACTCAAAGGCTATCTATATATCTCTGAAGCTGATCCCTTTGACAAACTATGCTCATTGTCTTCTTTGCACCCTGGCAACTCATCACACAACTGTTGATATGTCAAACAGTGGGAAAGGCAAAAGTCCATGGACTTCCATCCTGAGCAACAGGTTTAGCCACTCGCTGGTTGAGTTTCCACCAGTTTCCAAGCGCCTAAAAAGTGCTGAGGTCCTTCCAGAAAGCCTTGCCATGCCTCGAAACAGGATGCCTCGAATACATGTCAGCATCAGTCTCCTGGCATCCTCCAGAGCCTCTGGGGGCTGAGTCACTGAGAATTAGTCTGATGGTGCATGAGCGGCATTGCCAGGCTTTTACCCACATCTCTGGCCGGCGGGGGGGGGGGGGGCATGCATTCCTACATGTGTGCAAACGCACACATCCAGTGCATCCAGCGCTCCAAAGAAACAAACATAGCACCGGAAAGCAACGGACGTAAGCCTGGCATGTCCCGCCCCTCACTGCCTCTGTGACCCACATCCACTGACCGCATGTTCCGGCAACAACACATCCAAGTGCTAACCCGGAAGCTGCACACGCCAACTTGTGTCATGTGCCAGTATTGACACCTGAGCATCAGCAGTATTCATCCTTAGTGGTCATGCACACGTTATATATAATACCAATAGACCTGGCGAAGCTGGGGGAAGAAAGGTTCAATGTATGATGATTGCAGTTGTCATGGTCTTCATCTTTCCCTTTCTCTTTCTCTTCACTTTCTTTCTCTATCTCTCTCTTTCTCTTCTTCAATCTATCCATTTATCTATTCACACATCCATCTATCTAGTTGTCTGCCTGTAAGTCTATGTGCCTGTCTGTCTGCCTGTCTGTACGCCAATCTGTTTATAACTTCTCATCAAATAATCTACCTAATTTATATATCTATTATTATTCTATCTATATAGTCTCACTTTCTATCTAACTATCTATCCATCCATCCATTTGTCTACCTATTTTGGACCTGACAGCCCGGCGCCTGCCACGCAAAGTAATGCAACTCCGAAACTGTTCGAGAGTGCCCCGACCATGAGTCGCGATCAGGCTATATAACTTTCGACCAGCCCGCAAGGGTTGCACTTGTTTAGCATGTCTATTCCCCGCCGCCTCGTTGATTGCGCCCTTATGATGATCCTCTCTTTTGTCAGAAAGCTAGCCTCCAATTAGTGGCCGTACCATGGATGTGTTGTCTAATAATAGTAACAACAGCGATAAACAAAGAATAACAACAGAAATAGTAAGTATATGTGTTTGCTATTACAATTATCATTGTTGCTCGATATTGTTAGTGTTGCTACTATTGTCGTAATTACTAGTGTTATTGTGATGATCATCATTATAATATGATGGTCAGTAACATGATTGTTAGTAGGATACTATCACTGTGATCATTACTATTATTATCATTATTGTGATAATGTCTATCATTGTAGCTATGACTATGATTGATTGTGATTGTTGTTACTAGTACTACTATCATTACTAGTTTTACTACTGCTGCTATTGTTGCTGTTATTGCATGTGTTCAAAGCTCTCTGTTTCCTACTAATCGTTATCATGATCCTGACAATTGGCATTGTTATTGTTGTGATTGTTATTGTTACTACTATTATCGTCATGTTGACTTTATTGTCTACATTAACACGCGCAACACGCAACACAACATGTATTGACAAATAGCGGCTGGGAAGCCTAGCACCCAAACAGTCCGTTGTCACTACGCCAAGCTCATTTTCAGCACCCCTAAAAAAAACCAAGCGAAGACACAGGGCCTCTTGGTTCAACCCAAAAGGTGGTAATCAAACCAAGTGAGTGAAAGAAATGGTTTGGCTAACCGGCCAAAGCCCTAGCTGAGCTTCTGCTTGCTGTGGATTCCGGGTCAGTCGTTGCCGGCAGGGCGCGGGCTGCAAAGACAACCTCCCCCAGAGTGGCGCCCAGCCAAACGAAGATCATGGTGATATTGGCCAGGAGGCACCTGGGAGACCATGCCAAGGCGGCAAACCCCTTCGAATAGGGAATTGAGGTAGGTTTTGGAATTGGTCCCTTTCTTTTTTCCGGGCTGGGGGGGTGCGGCAAACTTTGGGGCAATTTCTTTGTCAATGCAAGTCTGCGGGAGGTTCCAACATGCTTCAATTGTCAGCCATGGCAACCAGATTGCAATGCTGCCATGCAGAATTCGCTAATTAGCGGTGGGACAACCTCGAGATCGGTCAAGTGAGGCACCCGGAACGGAACAGGGCCGATTCCCTGCTGGTTCGCTTTCACAAAAGTGAGTCAGAGCCAGCCATAAAACGCGCGGATCGACACAACCCTGCAAGGTGTTGTTGGGGCTCGTTGCTGTCTGGGGCGGATGTCTCAAATTCGGGGACGCTCCAACAGGGTTGGATGCGCTTGATTCCTGTTCACAAAGGCAATCAGCTGGAGGCTCGCCGGGGATCGAGCAAACGGACCTTTCATTGCAATCGTGTAGAAGAAGAACACCCAGAGGTCCGAACATCGCCCAGTTTCAGCCTTTGAAGTGACTGGTGTTTTGGATTCTGCATTGCGTCTGTTGTCTTTTGACATTATAAACTATAACAAACATGTCACGCAACAGCTTCGGCCTAGCCAGTGCTTGCGTCCACACATGGCAGGTTCCCCAATTGGCCCCCAGTAAAACTTGCTAGGCCCTTCTGGAATGCTTCGAAAAGGTGGCCACCGTTGCATGGCGACCAGGCCACTGTTTCGATTGCACAAATTAGACTCTCTGCTTCCCACCTGGCAATAAGCCGCCGGGCGTTGTCCGGACTCGATCACGCAGGCGCGACTGCTTCTGGATGTGATCCTGTCGCCGTTTGGCGATGCGGGAGAGATTCAAAGACTCATGTGTTCTGGTTTAAAAGGGGCTGAGAGCTCGCAACGGGTTTTTGTGACACACGTGGACAGGTATTGCTGGCTTCCGTTTGACTCGGCAGCCCAGCATCTCCTGGCAAAAATAAGCATGCACGCCCTGAATGCACGTCCGTGTCTCTTCTGAAACTGCCCCAAATTACCTATGTTTTACTTCTTGCGCAAGGAAACCCAAATCCTGTTCGAAAAACCTGGATGCTGCAGCAAAACGAGGAAACTCCTCAATGCTCCACAAGAGGCGGTCTGTGCAAAGAACCGATTGAAATCAGAACTGTGGTACCTATCCTATCTGAATCTGGTGTTCTGATCGATTCTTTATTTTGTTGCCTGCCTTTCACCTGGCAAGCACTAGAATAGCATACTTTGCGCAATGTCCAATGTTTCAATCTAGCCCGTAGAGCAAAAAAAGCAATTACTTCATGTTCAATCATTGTGTAAGTTCAAATCGCAGTACCAGGAAGAGCTCACGCCTTGCCCTCCTGTCGAAGGAATGCATGTGAAAACATGTTCTTGCAGAAATTGTCATATGCATGTATAGACATATATAGGCATCTACACACAAACGTGCACACGTCAACAGGAACAATTGCCAACCACAACACGATTCACAAGGCCGTATTGTATGGGATTGTCTAGCCTGGCGTACTCCGCCTGACTTTGGGGTAGGCACCGCCGATGCGGAAGCAGGTGAAGACCTACTGTTCACGACGGGTCAAAACCAAAGGGTTGGTCAGTAAGTGTTGTTGTAACTCAGAAGTACACGTCGTAAAAATATCGTCGAGTCTGCACCGATGAAACGTGAGACCCTGCCTGGTCAAGCATGCAATGGGCACAAGTTTGTCTTGGATCTTTAATATCCAGCACTTGCAGCGCGATTCCCGCCCATGACTGCAAGCCTGCAAATGGGAAAAAAATAACAGAAAGCCAAGTGTGATGCGACGCATCACAACATAGAACGATAGAAACAATTTAGTACTTGTCCGAAAGCATCGCGACTCGCACAGCAGGATGCTGGAGCACAAGCAAAGCAAGAGACACGAGAGCACATGGTAAGTGTACATGCAGAGCAAGATGAACGAGAGCACTTGCAGAGCAAGAGACACGAGCGCACATGTCGGGCGCACATGCAGAGCAAGATGCACGAGAGCACATGCAGAGAAAGAAGCACAAGACCGCGCGCAGAGCAAATGAACGAGAAAACACTCGCAGCAAATTGCACAAGAGAACGCGCGCGCAGCAAACCGCACGAGAGAACATGCGCAGCAAATCGCACAAGTTAGCTTGCACGAGAAAGCTCGCGTGAGACAACTTCCGAGCGAAATACTTCTTGATTTGCCCGCGCAACACTCTGCGCGGATCGGCCTGGTCGATGTGCAGAAGGATGCAGGAGTCGAGTTGCTTGCATCGAGAACGACGCGCGCAACAACTTGCACGAAGCAACACATGCGCCGGGGATAAAGACACTTGATTCGAGAACTTGCGCAAACAAACTTGCAAAGAGCAAGTTGCGAGGACAGCTTGCGCGGAGAGACTTGCATCGGCATCTAGTGTAGAGAAACTTGAGCAAATAAACTTGAGCTGATAGCTAGTGCAGGGAAACTTGCATGGAGAACTTGGGCGGAAGCTTGCGTGGAGATCTTGCGCAGGGAACCTTCAGAGTGAACTTGCGCAGAGCCTAGTAGCGCACGGAACTTGCACGCAGACCTGGCGCAAAGAAACTTGCACAAAGAAACTTGCGCAAAGAGCCCCTCATAGCTACAACTCGAAGGCATGCTTTATGGCTTAACAAAACAAGCGTCGGAGCTTGAAACAAAAACGTCTTGCGCAGCATCTCGCAAAAGCGTGTGAATACGGAAATGATTGAAATCAATGCGTTCGGGCACCCGTGGTTCTAGTGTTTCAATGAGAATCCACAAAAGTGTCCCCTGCTAGACCTCGCACCATGCGCGCATCCAGCTCCAAGGCAAGGCATCAACCCATGTCCTGAAGCAGAGAGCGCGGCTTTGGCGTGGAAGATCCCAGCGATTCCGAGTCTGAATCATCTGGCAGGCAGGGCTCGACGTCCATCGGAACCCCGGCCCCTCGAACCGGGAAAACAATGGCTGGGCGATCCGCGCGTAAAGCCCTAGAGCCACACGAGCGCACAAGCACCACAAGCGCAACAGAGAAAAGCAAACACAACACAGCACGTGACAGCCGCAATCAAAGTGATGAGTGTTTCGGGCAACCACCAAAACATCCAACAAAGGGGTACCAACTCCAAAGAAGACAGACCGGCATGAGGCAACAAAAACCCAAAGGGCTAAACCAGCATCCAGAAATCACAGGCAGGTGCCGCTTGACATGAGCGCATCCGATGTAGGAGGCACAGCTGGTGCTCGTGGTCATCGTTCAAACCGGACCCTACCAAGAACTTGGTCGCTGCATTTCGATTCAGCAGCTCGAGTCCTAAACTGCTAGCTGCACTTTCCTTTCACCTGTGTGAAGCAGATTATGATGGCAGACTGCATTGCTCCTTGCCAAGCGACAGTTCGATGTCTCTTTCCTGATCCCATACTTTGTAGTCTTGGCAGCCTCTTATATATATATATATATATACATATTCTCAATATATTAAATACGCATGATGTGAACATATGTATGTAAACTTACCATGTGGGTGTGAGTTTTAGTTGAGGACCCTTCAGTGGCCGCGATTTGGGGGGAACTCGCCTTTGAAACACACGTGGACTGAATTTGTTTCCTCAGGTCGCCTGGTAGCCTCAGGCGAGCCTGAGAAGTCCAGATTCGAGCTGCCGCCCATATCCCCAAGTGTCCTGATGGAGGCGCTGGCTCGCGGGCCGCGGGGGGCCTTTTCTTTGGCCTACGAAAGGGCGGCATTGAGCCAACATGGCCATGAGTCAAAACCCTCAACCAATCCCACTAAAATTTGTTCTAAAATGGGTGGTGCACCTATCCCAAAATGGTACCATTGGTTTTGAACCATGGCCATATGTCTCGCACTAGGGGCCTAGCGGCCGCCTGACATGCACCAAGTGAAGTCATGGCTTGGCACATCTTGGAAAAAGCCCTTTTAATGAAGAAAATAATCTTCACAGCAAGGCCAATAGCATGGAACCAAAGCACGACAGCGTGCTGAAAAATTGTGCAGCCAGTTGTGCAGGCAGGTTGCTGCAAAAGTGGGCCTTCACTGACAACACCTTTTGCGAGGTTTTACATACATCTACAAGGTGGCAAGGTACCCACCCATCATTGTGCTGCTGTTGATAGTCTCTTGCTGCCATGTAATCCTTGCCATGGTCCACTGTAAGCGTTGCCAATGCAGCCAGGGTGCTGCAAAACGGAAGAACCTTGTGTGTTCCGGTAGAAGCGCACATGAGCACACACCTCACGGCTTCAACACAACATGACAAAATGCGGGAAACAATTTTGTACAACAAGATGTCTGATTGTGTTTGTGCGTGTGCTTGCGTTTGGGCCCTCTGTGGTCACTGTCTGCCCGGGCTTGCCGTAAAGTTAAATGAATTGAATAAAATATTTGAGTCGAAAAGTCAAACCTTTTTTTGAAAGGCGTGTGTCTGTCTGTTGACTGTCAATCAGAAGTAGAAGCTCAGATGAGAGAGTGGCCACTCAATGTTCAACCAGTGTGCCATTCCGGGAGCTGTCAACAATCCAAAACAAGCAGCTTCTTCTGAGGCCATTCAGCTAGCATCTTCAAGCAATGATCTTGGAATGTCTTGTTTGACGGTGCCACAGCGGCCCGCGGTGATACAGGTCCATTCAGAATGACTTGACTTATTACATGATGGCTGGCCTCGCTATTCTACCATCGTCAAAGTCACCCCCCCTAAGTGACGGGTTACAGGGAAATAACCCCACTTTCTGACTTTGATAACCCCTAGAAACGGTCAAAATCATGACGCCAGTACATATGTTTGAATGACATCTGTGGACAGCACAAATAGTATGGTGGTGCATATTGAGTTGATCCCAGAAGCGATACGACCGGGAAATCAGAAAAGGGAGCCCCAAGCTGCGCATAGATGTACGCAACTCACCTAAAGCACTTGCTGACACTGAGCTCCATGTCCAAACACCTTACATGCCAATTCTGCAATTCGCCTCCCATGTATCAAACACATTCACAGCAATTCCAAGCCAGTTCACTGCGCCATGCAGTTTGGTAGATGCTTTCACTTGAAGATAAACGGTCCTTGGAGTTTGTATCTCCAAGCCAAGCTGCTGGAGAAAACAAGAAGGGTCCAAAAAAGCTGGCAAAGTGCTTGTTGTGCCTCGTTCGCAAAACGCTAAAATCGGAGACGGGGTGATGCTGCTTTGATAAACGCTGCGGTCCTATCCTGGCTGTCCGCGGTCCGAGTGGCTGACAAGCCAAGCTGGCAAATGAAGACCGCTACGATGGAGATGCAAATCTCGTGATTCAGGCCCTGCGTTGGCGGGAGCGAAAATCAGTTCGGATTCCCCACTCTCTCATCTGCCAAGAATGCCCATGAGCATGGGAAAATGCGGATGGAGGCCCGCAAATACTGCCTTTAGCAGCACTGTTCTTGCAAAGCAAAGTGAGTGAATGGTGGGAGTTTGGAAGCTGGACTGAGCAAGCTCAAGCTTGGATCGGAAGCATCTTGCCGGACATGGGCCTAGCATGCGGCCTAGTTCAGTCTCCTGCAAAGTCGACTGAAACAATGTGACATACTGTATCATGGGTATTCATAACATTGCTTTAGAGACTTGGCAGGGCCAGCTAGAGGGATTCCGGCCCGACTGCCAACTTCCAGTTTGCGTAAGACCAAATCACGCACTTCAGCGCACAACGCCATGAGCGAGCACACAAGTGCAAAGTGCACACATATTGAAACCACGGAAAATTATAACATTGAGCTCATGTACTCCATTCAAGCCTGCTGGGATGATCCTGCCGAAAGCCATCCAGTCGCTATAGACGCAAAAACATATCCTGAGTAAGAGATAAACACAGCAGCAGCTATTCTACTTCGTTGTGAACTGTCTGGCGTGCGCAAAGAAGCGGTGAAGATTCGCGCAGATCTACCGGAAAGGAGCCTAGCTATTGATTCCTTAAATATTGCATGTGCAAGCTAACTATCTATGAATGAGCGTGGCTACGGACACGTGCACTTACAACTTTAAACATCTAAGGAAATGAAGAAACAATGATGCGAGCAACATGCGGATGAAATGCAATGCTCCTACTCACGGCTCCCAACACCGACCGATATTCATATGGAGAGACGTTGTCTTTTGTTTGAATGCAGCCAATCTTGGAAGGCAATTGATGGAAGTGGACAAGACATTTTTTTGCAGCAAATACAACCAATCGTAGCCTCCAATCACTGGCCAACTTCTGTTGACAGTTGCAAACATATCCTCCAACTCATTGATTTCCAAGAACGATTGACAGAAAAGGAAGCATAAACAACCAGTCCTCCTCGCGCCACCAGGTCTTGGCTTTGAGCATGGACTGGCGCACATTGAGGAGGCTGGCACCCAAGCCCAGAACAAGCCTCACAGCTTGGTCGGTTCCGTCGATGCAGCACAGCCGCTGCATGGTGGGTTCTTAAAAACTGCTAAAACCCAGCAAAGCAGCAAAGGATAGCTAATAGTATGGCAATGTTACCGTGGTTTCTGCTGGTGTTGTCTTTCTGCGAATGCCTTTTGGCAAAAGGCAAGCCTCTGCAAATGAACTGGAGTATTCCAGCCATGCTAAACATGATTACCCACCGAGCATACATATCGTGTCTGGTCTGAAGCAAGCCAGCCATCAGACATGAAGCGCCATCAACTGACAGACTTGAACATCGGACAGCTAGAAACTTAGGGTTGCCCATTAGAATTCAATATTTATACAACAGCGCAAGATAAAGCAACACAAACTGTTTGCACCCGATCTCGTTTCAGCTCAGCTGGTGCCAAGCCACCATGTTGACGTGTAGCTAATCAGGATCATGCTTCACCTCATTGTTTATGTCTGGTACGTGGGTTCTCCACATTGCCTGGCAAACCCGTCACAAAGGGATGTCAAACAGTCCGGGCCAGGCAGCAGCAGGTTCTCCAACAAACTCTGCAGGCAGCTGGTAGGCATCATCGCCTCTGTCAAGATGCTCAGGGCGAGCGCCTCGTGCGCGTTGCACGCGTCCGGAGACCGTTGGAAGGCGGGGAGTCAGCACTTCTCAAGTTCGCTGGGCTGCCGGCAACCAACATCCAAAAGAAATGCACCACGAAGACGTAGTTGTACATGGCGCTGTAGTACAAACCCATGGCTTCGAACCTGAAAGCTCAAGCAAGATCGCCACTCCAGCAAAAAGATACTCGATGTGTTTGGACCCAACATGCAAACGAGCGGGTGCAACCTTCAGGGCTAACAATCTGTCTCCAGTCCATGGGAAACGTTGCCCTTTGAAAATGACCCAAATCTCTTGTTGCCCTGCAGCAACTGCATTGACCTCTTCCCCTCGGATCCTGGTTTGGAGTCTCCATCGCTCCTAGAAATCGATGAAGATGTGCTGCCGAGCCCGGTTCTGCAGCAGTTCTTTCCCTTAAATTCGATTTCAGACCCCCAAACCAGGATCTGTGGGAAGATGGCTTTCATCTCGAGATCCATGGCAGGAACTCTGAGTCAGTGACTGAAAGTTGAACCAGTGTAAGAAGTATATGCGTAACTTAGCGAGCGTAAGCTGAGTGACTGAGTGTAAGTATGTGTAAGTTAGTGAGGGTAAATATGAACGTGCGCCACGCAAAGAAACATTCGCGTAAGTCAGGAAGTGCCTGCCATGCAGTTAGCAGCAACAAAGTACTGTGCCTGCCACGCAAATAGCGCGGGCGCATCCCCACGGCGCGCACAGACCACTCTAAAAGTATTGCACCTGACACGCAATTCAGCTGCAGGTCCAAAGTGTTGCGCCCACCACGAAACCAGCATTCCACCGAAAGCCTACCAGTCTAAAGTGCTACACACACAAGCCTACGCAACCCCGCAAACCCACAGAAACCCACGCAAGCTAAAACTCACTTACGAAAGCGGTCTGCCAATCGGTCGCCGCGATCTGAAAGGCAATCCCGATGCGCCCGGACACTGCGGACTGATCCTGCGGACCTCTTTCTGGCCCTCAGCGGCCGTCCATGCGCTCACATGCCGCTTCAAGAAGGCTGGCCTCGTCACTAAGCCCAGCGACAGCAGCGTGCCCAAATCAACCACACAAGCGGACACAAGCTGCCTAGTTTCCGACAGTCCAGCCCATGGGACCAAGCGGGGAGATGTGGATACAGCAAAAACAATTCAAGGAGTCGGCAAAGCGAAAAGGACACTCGATGGGGTGGCACACCCATGATCTTGTGGTCAGATCTAAGCACGGAATGGCTGGCCATCCCACGCTCTGTCTCTAGCTGATCTGTTCAGTCACGGGAACAGTCATGGTGGAAAATGAGAGGAGAGAGACCATCCGCTGTCTTCCCGGAATCCGTCTTTCTGAGAGGCAACTGGCTCTCGTAAAGAGTTGTCATGATACAACTCAATTGATTGACCTCTGATGCCAGCCACCCGCATGAGACGGGTTCGGAAGAGACTGAAACATATGGCATGCATCAACTTGCAGCTCTGAAACATGTCATGACCAAGTGGACAGAACCAGAACTGACTTATGGCTTTGCTTCCCTTCCCTTCCCTGACAGGTCTCTGGCTCCCATAGCTCGCGCTCTCGGAGCGACCAGGGACCCGGCGCATAAGCGTTCAGCAAGTTCCGCAGGCCCCAACCCCTGCACAGCGAGCAAACGAGAGCCAATGGGCCAACCAGCCTTGCCCATTGAATTCACTCAAATGGCTATATGGCTATGGGTCAAAATTAAAATCACCAGGGGACAGGTGTTAATCCTTGGTTCCCTTTTCCAAGGCAAGCCATTGTGGGGTTACCCCATTTGGGACCCACAGCCATATACCGACACACATGTCTACAATGCAAAGGACTTCCGAAGACAGCGACATGACGGGGAAAGGGCACAGCTTCATCCGAGCCCTAGTAGACAGGGGTGTGCTCATGTGTCGACCACTCGACATGTGTATTCCTGTTCCAAGGGTTGGTTGAGTCCGCTAAATATGCGTGGACAATGGCGTACCGCCAACTCAAAAGAGGTTCCCTTCATACTGTGGATGGACGAATTCCTGCACCACACAAGAAACCCTGCAATGATTCGATTCCCCTGTAAATGCCAACAAATAATGGTTTCAAAGTGGTGTGGACGGAATTTTGACCGTATGATTCTCATGATATTAATAGCGCAAAACTGCTCAAACGGAATGGTACGCCAAGGCGCAAAATTGAGTTGGGATCTGATCTACCACACAAAATATTGTCGGAAATGGCAAAGAGTCAACGTATCAAAACCGGTGGAAGCAATGGCTAGCAAAGGCTATAATTCATCGTTAACCTCCATTTCACCATGCAGGCCAAGTGGGATTGCTTGCATAATAGACATCTGCATCGCGAATTTGATGCTAGACAATCAAAGGCAAAGTCGACTCCCACCTTCTGGCACTGGCATGCTTGTTCGCGCGCTTGGTGTCAACACCCACCCAGGTCACCACATTGCTCTCATGAAAACATCTGCCGAGCACCCGGACTCCAGTGATCAAACAAGTGCTACGCTCCAGGTGCGGTATTGCGAGTCACTGCTCCCAACTGAGTGTCTTGGTGGTGAGGGGATAGGCTACCGACGCAACATGATAGTACACAATATATATATATATGCATTGTCGCAAGGCTCTATCTTGTGGAACAGCGTTCCTGCCATGAGTAAAGCCCTCAAAACAATACCATGACGTGCCTCTATCTCCTAGGTTGGATGTATATTTGGAGAGGATATGACTCGTCATGTCTGCTTCGCAAGAGACCGACATATAAATGGTAGCCTTGCGTGGAAATACCTTGCCGTCGCGTCAACTTGCTGCTGCTATGTTGGGGCCCTCCACGGACGTGGCTCAGATGCCCAGTGGATTTCCAGGGAAAACAGAATCGGCATCCGATTTGTTTGGTTGGGTGTAAGGGAATCGGAACCCTTCCCAAAAAACAACAAGGAAAAAAGGGCGCCACTGGGCAACTGGGGGGGAACAAAGTACATAACAAAGGCATACAGTGATAATTCTGATAGATCCTGGACTGCACACTAGTGCCCCTCAAAGCAAAAGGCCGCTGAATTCGCTGGCCCTTTCTAGTTGGCCCGTGAAGGGCTGATGCTTGGCTTATCCCCCGACATAAAACAAGCACAGGCTGAAACGTACAGCCCGCGCGGATGCTCGCAGCGTCGATCTGTCCAACTGCATCTTCTGGCCCAGGCACAGGTAGTAAGGCGTGTAAGCTGCCAGGTCATCCCAGAGGTACTGCAGCCGCTGCCTCAGAGTTGTGCATGGAGTGCACATTCAACAACACAAGCAGCAACACTGCTCAGTAGTCGACACGTATTGTATGCCATCACTGGATGTCGTTTGTCAAATAAATGAACAGACTTGACACATGTGTGACTTGCGCCAAATCCAGGAAAACCTGTGCTCAAGAAAGTTCCGTCCATGTAACAAGCGCCTTCATTGTTGTCCAGAAAGTGTCTCTCTCTCTCACACGCAACTGAGCACGCTGCAGGCACACGCCGACACACACACACACACACATGTATCGATGCAACAATGCGAACATATACAAATGTGTTACGTGTATTTACGCACAAACACTTGCACGCACACATGAAGAAACAAACACATGACACGCACACACACACACACACACAGACACAGACACAGACACAGACACAGACACAGACACAGACACAGACACAGACACAGACACAGACACAGACACAGACACAGACACAGACACAGACACAGACACAGACACAGACACAGACACAGACACAGACACAGACACAGACACAGACACAGACACAGACACAGACACAGACACAGACACAGACACAGACACAGACACAGACACAGACACAGACACAGACACAGACACAGACACAGACACAGACACAGACACAGACACAGACACAGACACAGACACAGACACAGACACAGACACAGACACAGACACAGACACAGACACAGACACAGACACAGACACAGACACAGACACAGACACAGACACAGACACAGACACAGACACAGACACAGACACAGACACAGACACAGACACAGACACAGACACAGACACAGACACAGACACAGACACAGACACAGACACAGACACAGACACAGACACAGACACAGACACAGACACAGACACAGACACAGACACAGACACAGACACAGACACAGACACAGACACAGACACAGACACAGACACAGACACAGACACAGACACAGACACACACACACACACACACACACACACACACATGACACACACACACACGCACACAAACACAGACAGGCAGGCAGGCAGGCAGGCAAACAAACAGGCAGGCACGGCATGGTGCTTCCCACTATTCTGGAACCCCAGATTACGGTCTTCTGCGATCAAACCAAAAGGAGACTTAGACACGTTAAGGGACCTCTGATGTGGCAAATGCGAATTGGTTTCAAGGGCACATGCCCAAGCAGAGTTGCTTGTCTGAACCCGTCTGCAGCGGCTAGACTCGGGGAAGTCATCTGGTCGAAACCTCAAGCGCCCAAGCGGCAAGGCTTCGTCGTTGTTTTGCTGGCGCAGAAGAAGCCGCTGCAGCGAATTTTGACCAGCCTAGGATCACACAATGGGTCAGTATTGCTGTCTTTCGCCCTCGCTCTCCCCATCAATCGCTCCCTCTCGCCCCCTGCCCTCCATCCCTTCTTCCTTCCCTTAGCAATCAGTGTTGCATCGTTGACTGGTGCAACGTATGCGGCATGATGCCAAGGCGAGCCTTTCCAGTTCTGTTCTGGGTGATAGCTAAGTCCAACATGCCGCCCGTCAAGGCCAAACAGCAGCACAAGCCAAGCAGCCCAAGCAAACCCGCAAGCCTTCGCACAATCCCCTTAAACACGCAAACACACGGCAAATCATTCCATTGGACCCAACAAATCAACCCAAAAGGCCAAACCCAAAAAAGCAAAACAACAACAACAAAAACACCAAGAGACACACATAGAAACACACACACACAAACAAAAAACATACACACACACACACTCCCACACAAAGACACCCATGCACCACAGAAACCACACAGACAGCCCAGGGTTGGCGCGTCGAAAGCTTTCGGCTCCGAGGCGCCGCCTCCGCAAACCGCTGGCGCCGGTGCAGCAGCTCCGAGCCGAAGCGCCGCAGCAGGGCCTCGCTGCCGGGGATCCTCGCGGGCTGCGCTGGGGGGGGGGGGATCGATAGGTTCCCTGCGGTGTCCGGTTTTGACCGGGAGAGTTGTTTCCCCCTTTCTTGGACGTATACTATGGTTGGCTTCGTGGGGGAAGTTTTTTGCTATGGGGAGGGGGGGGGAACCCGGATCAAGGAGGTTCATCTTGGGGAATTTCTTCCGGTATAGGGGTCACCGAGATGCCAAGGAGGGCAACCACTAGTTCTGTCCTTTGACGGAGGTTGGGAATCCATCTCGGGGAGACCTTTCCCATGTGGGACATATGTGCTATGTAAAGGAGGAATCTAGAGCAAGGAGGTTCATCTGGAGGTTCATCTTGGGGGACATTTCTTCGGCCCCCAGTTTTGACCAGGGAAGACTTTTCCCATGTGAAAAACATATACAATGTTTGGTTTCGTGAGGGGTTGCGCCCTTTGGTCAAGAACTGCGGGGGCCGAAAGGAGAATATGATCCCCGAGACTCTGAAAGACGGGGAATCTTAGATTCCTGACACCCAGGTTTGGCCCTAGACTTTTCCCATCGTGGGAAAATATCAAATATGTTGAGTGGTCTTCCAACCAGTCGTGCCATGGACAGGACCTGTTGATCAACCCACTCTTGGGGGTTGTTCCATCTTAAACGCATGGGCTTCAATAAACACATTTATCTCAATATTGCCCGCACCGTCAAACCACTTTGAGAACCCGTTTTGCCCGCGAGGGTGGCCCGCAACAAACATGTCTGCGGCAAGCTCATTCTCAGAAGGACCCTAGGACACGTCCTTGGAAAAAAAACAAATATGCATTGGGACGCTTCGGGTAACAAGAAAACCCCCAAATAGCCTGGTATCATCCACACTCCGAGAAATTTTGGACCCAGACAACACCAAGCTGCCTGAACAAGGTTGAAGCATCTTGCCGTTCGAAACGCTCGGCACTTTCTTCTTCCTCCTTGGCTGCCGCGCAATGGCTTCAGTTGTCTCCCGCGACACCAAGCTCGTTCATAGGCCTAGTACTTTGCCTACAAGCGCACAACGAGCACCAGTGCCAGAAGCGTATAAAAGCATGCAATGCCCCGCTTCCACAGAGCAGGAACTGGTTTTCATCCCAGATCTCCAGTACTCAGACCACAATCAGTGCTGGAAGCGGATGGACCACTTCAAACCCAGCCACTCCCTCATCCACCGCAGCCATCATCTCCTCGAAAGGTGGTCGTACGCAATTGTTGAGAAGCACCTGCGCGAAGGGTATACATGGGGACCTGCCACAACTTTGGATTGACAATGATCCCAGAAAAGCGCCAATGCCATGCGTTCCCCGGTTGCAACCCTCATTCCATCGAGATTGTTACAGTACAATAGCCCAATGTTTCTTTAATTTCAGACCTCCGGGTCTCAGCGAACCTGCAAGTCTTCCCGCTCTCGCATCTGCTACGTTTCATTTTGAACAATAAAAACAACATGGAGTAAGAACTAGCCAACGGGTGGCCCGCAAGCATTTAGCCGGGTAAGGCTGCAATCATCAAGTAAGATCTCTGCGCAGCTCTCTGAGCAAACTCTGTGCTGGCTGGCATGTTGCTCTCTGTGGGCTGTCTCTCTTGCAAGAATCGAGCAATGTACCGAAAGAACCCTTTGCACTGCTTGCGGGGAACAAACAACTAATCGCCCAAAGGGATACTGATCAACGAATACAAGGTTCATATTTGTCCAGGTCGATAACCGTGACTTTCAAAGTAATACTACGCGCTTGCCTATTACAATAGTTTCACCATGCAGCAGTACCCTATGTCCCACCAGCCGTTAGTAGAACAAAAAACACACACACACACACGTTCCACAAAACAATAGGTTCCAACCCCAATGTTTGCTGTTTGCCTTGATCCAAATTGCCCAATCGGTAAGAGCTTATCTCCTCATATTCAAGCGCGGAAACACAAAGCAGCACCTGAAGCAAAGCAGGCCCGCAGCCCACGTGGTTGCTCAGGAAATCTGAGCCCTGGCTTAGTGCACTCATGCTGCCCAAAGGGGCGCTGCAAACGGGCAGGGCCCGACTTGCGATCGGTGCAAAATCGGCAGAAAATGAGAGTTTTGGAATGACCCCAAGCAAAACGCAAAACTATCCAACTAGGGGACTCCTGCTATCGTACCAGCAAGCCGACATCAAGACGCAAGTTTCAGCTCCAGGTGCTGCCATGGTCCAATTCTTCGCGACGCCCGGTGCCGTGCGCCCCCGGCGCCGTGCATGCAACGTGAGCTGTCCAACTATTGGGTTCTCCGGCCTTCTGCGAGGTCCGAGCGAGGATGGAAGCCGAGATGGAGGAAAACAATGCCAAAAGGAAGTACAGGGTAGAATTACCTGAGCGAGAGGACACTCTGCAGGCTTGAACCACGGGACTCAAAGCATCTCGAACTGAAGTTTGCTGAACGCTCTTGAGTTCCATTGTGTGTCTCTGACCGAGGTCGCAGTCGAGGTGCCAAAGCAATCTGCACGACTCATGTACTAGCCATATATTATATATCCACTTACCTTTCCCCGCAATGCAACCAATAGCTCCGTCCTGAGTAGACGTGGTCCACTTATGTGGTCAGCTTCAGGCCTGCCTCGCTTGTTGCAGCAACGATGGCTTCTTCTCGAAGCTAAATGTGTATACGAAACTGGCAAGTTGCGCAAGTTGGCAGTTGCCCGAACTGTTTTTTCTCCGGCGCCAGGCACAATGCTTCCAAACTGTTGGATTATGTTGGATGATCAAGGCTGGGTTCGCCAGTGTGCCAAGCTGCAGCACACTCTCTTGCTCTTTGCGATCTTGCGCTGGGACGCCCAACAAACCAAAGCGTTTCACCGAGCTTCTGTGTGTCGTGTGAACATGTGATGGCCAGAACAATGGTGGCGCACGCCTGCCAAAGATTTCTCCGTTCGGGCTTCGCAAGCTTGCTCCTAAATTGCGCGCAGTGGTCCAGCGGACGGCTTCCGGTGAGGGTTCCGCAAACTTTACCTTGAAACTCTGGGTGGTCGTGGTGTATGCCTGCCCTCTTCGTGTTTGTCTGACTCATGTGTCGTCCAATTCATCCGAATCTTCTCTGAGTCATGAACAAGGCATGTCAGGCTGCATGTGTGTGTGTGTTGTTGCTGTTGTGAGCTGCTGTGTGTCACTTGTTCTGCGGGTGTGCATGGTAGTCTTTTCATGAGACCATTCATGTCAGCAAGGCCTAAGAAAGGGACATGACTCCATCGCTCCGTTGGCCCCGGCCCAGCTGCTGAGGTTCAGGTAGAAGAGGCCCTCCAAAAAGTCCGCGGTCTCTGGTGGCATGCTGAGCCCTGGCAGCTGGGTCGGTTTTTTGACACTGGAAACAACTGGGCCTGTGGGGTGGATAAAGCGTTCGACACATGTCCGATTTCCGGCAGATCGCATTTTGCCTACTCCTCGGCTTGCAGTGTGTTGGGTTTCAGCTTACCATGTTCGACTCCACCGGGCCGCTAAGTTCAGGCCGTTTTGCTTCTATGATCATGGTCAGGGAAGCAGGGAAAGGGCCACCGTTTCAAGGAACCGGTTTGTCTCACTTGGTGGTGTTGTTGTTTCTTTTTTGCGCGTTGTCGTTTTGAGAGTACCACGGCACAAGGAACTGGGACCAACAACCAAGCACAATGAAACAAATCCTGTCTCCGAAATGTCGCCCAATACTGAAGCAGTATTACCCCCCTTTTGCACATCGGACTCGAATAGGAAGCGACTCGTGTAGTTCTTGCTTGATTGCTTCCAAAGTCCTCACTCTCACGGATCCGTGGCCAAAAAATATCCACCAGGTCCCTATATCTCGATTCAGCCAGCAGATCTTGGGACCAAAACCGGGCCCCGGTGCCGGAACGCCCGGCCGTATGCGTGGGTTGCGGCCACCAGCATAAGGGCAGACACCACACTGAGCCGCTCCTGCGAGTGGTTTTCGTTTTTTGCTTCTTCTCGCTTTTTCTCGGAAAAGTGCGCGGCAAAACTCCAAGGACTGCGGTTTTCTTGCCTTGTTGTTTTTGCAATTTATTTGTTATTTTTATTATTCATCGGCTTTTGTGCGCGTTTCCCAAACTCGGAGAGTTACTGCGTCTCCCATGTTTGCCTTTTTCGTTGCCCCGGGAAACAAATCCAAAGAAAAATCCGGTGGATGGTTGCGAAATCCAGTTCGCAGCTCCTAGGAAAGAAGCCCCTGGAATGATATGATTCCCGCGTAAATGCCAACAATGGTTTCAACCATGAACCATGATTTTAAAGTGGTGCAGGATTTCGTCCATCCCGCAGTAGGTCCAATAGTGAAATCCAACAGGGGGAAGCTGGTAGGTTGAATCAGTTGCCTTCCATTTCGTATTTGAATGAAATCCCGAACATGGCTTTTCGAGTACAAGCAGAGTGTTGATTTCTGTCACGGCGTACGCAACAAACATGATACCGAGATAAGCGACCTCGGTCTTTATCACCGTGCTTGATATTCATCAACGTGCTGCTTCTTCTTCACATGTTGAACATTTGTGAAACCAGGAAATACCAAAGGCCTGAAAGAGATACCAGCAAGGTTTACACTGCATTTAGCTACACGAAGTGGCTCTTGGATGTGCGCTTCTAAACGCAGCACAGTAGCAGTTGTGTCCATCCCTTATCAAACTGCAGCCGAGCAGTCTTGAGGTCTATTGCCATTGTCCTCTGAAAATATGTCCTTCTTCATTCCCCTTCTTCACAGGTTTAGTAGGCCGAAGCACAAGAGACGTTGACATTGAAAACCCATCCTCGGCCTGCGCCGGTGTGGTAACAGCCCTGATCTCCAAATCAGGTTCAAATCTCTTGCAATGCTGGGGCCGTCTGCCTGGCATTGGGCGACCCCAGAGGTGTCTGTAAATTGGCTGGAAGTCAAAGCCAAGACCGGAGTGAACTCGGTTGCTTTCTGCTCCCCTGCTAACAGTGACCAACTCTTAGTGGTTTAATACGGAAAACCCATCAGTTGGCAAAAAGTTAAAGTCCTAACATCCAAGCAAAATGTACCAAAGTAAATGTAGGGCAGTCTACCAAAGGCGAAACATCTCCTGCACCGTCACAGAGGAGCCGATCACCTGCTGCACGTCCGACCGGAAGAGCTCCGCCTAGGCTGAATCAAGTTACATGGATCCGAAGCATCGAGGACCTGACAAGCAATTTTGATGTGTCCTAAGCCTCACACTGTTACATGCAAGGGTCTTAGTGCATGGAACTATGCAACAAACTAAACATCTTTACAAAAAAACGCGCCAGTGCAACAAAATCATCCAGAACTCTATGCGTCTGTCCCACCCTTCGACAGCCCGCGAAATTCCGGCGGATCGAGTGCCGTATTTGCCTCAGTTCCCGAGTTCACTGGCCAACAAGAATCCAAGCTTTTTGTTTGTTACTAAATTGGTCCAAACCCAAAAAGTGCCTAAAATCCAGGAACTCAGGGAGTGAGTAACCCAACTTGCGAAGGTACCATAGCTAAAATGCGCCGGACATGTACAATGTATCTTCCAGCATCTGATCATCTAATTTTATCTGGCCTGGGCAGTGATGATCTGCTGCCGCCGGAATTTGCGGCTTTGCTTCAGCTTGAGGTTCTGGAAGAAGTTGGAGCGGTTGTAGCCTGGCGGGAACATCAAAGCGTGGTCCCAATACTCGTTGATTCCAACCATTCTTTTCAACCATCATTCTGTTCAAAAGCCAGCCGTTTCCCCAGGTTTTTGATGGTTTCCTGAAAAGAAGGATCCCTGGAAAGAATCAGGAAGGTACCCCTAGAAATATGCTGTTGATTTCATGGCAAGCAGAGCCAACAAATCTCTGGCCCGATCTCACCGAGGATCCAAGCTAAATGGTCTGGAGTCCGGTATCATGCGGCTTCCAAAGCTGATCTCTAGGTCTTGCAGGGCAGCCGAAGCTCGTCAGGTTTGCAGCACCACTGATTTGCCCCCCCACGCAAACAAACACACACACAAACAAAAAAAACAAAAACAAAAACAAAAAACAAACAAGAATCGATGCCTTGCTCTTCCCAATGGAAAGAACCGACTGTGCTTGTGTCAATTCGGTTGGGGAACCCTGTCCAGACCTTCTCCACCTAGCCGCCACCACCCCCCCCGATGCGCACCCAACAGCTTCAAGCCGGCCGCCGCAACACCAGCAGCTGCAACACCAATTTCCATAGCGCATCCGCGGTTTCCAGCCGGAAATCGGCTGGAAACCCTGAGCGTTTAGGCTCCCTCCATTGGTTGCTGGCAAATAGGTGCCGTTGGAGAAAAACGTTGCACGAGCAACACCGCTTGCAACAATAGGTGCTAACTGATTCAAGGGTCTTCACGACATGTTATATCAATCATCGAAGCCTTCACATATGGCACACATCACACACTCCGAGTCCATGCCCGGACAACTCGGTGTAATATCTGCTGGTAGCTGCCAGTGATTGGTGCCAATGGCTGAGGATGCGGTGGTCGGGTGATTGTCGGTGGTCGGGTTTGTCTGTGGCTATGACAGGACTCCAGGACTAATTCTCAAGAGTTCCGTACCGTAGCAACTGGCGATTTCATGGTTGGATCGGTCCTTGGTTTCCTATTAACTGACTGAAACCCAATTTTGGCGAACACCCAAAGAATCCCTTCTGGCTGCTTGCGGGAACATCGGATGGCGGCTCATCATGTTAGGCGGCCCAGCTGGTGCGGTTGACACTCTTCCCAACAGGGCCGAGCTGTGTGAACCAATCAGTCGGCTAATGCGGCATTGACACCAAACAACACCGAGTTCCAAGGATACAGGACAGCGTGCTCTCACACACACACATGCACAAATGGCCACATATGAGCGCAGTGGGACAGCTTAGCTGAAGCAATCACGAAACTCAATGCAACACGCAAGTCAATCAAAAGAAATACTAAACGGTTCTGCTTGCTTTTCCTTTACGAATCTCTCAGCTCGCATCGCATGTTAAACAGGCACGCGCAGCTGGAATGTCATCTAATTTATAGATTTACCAGTGTCTCAACAAAGACTGCTTGTGTGCAATGGCCCAGAAAACCGATGAACTCGCCTCTCGGCACTTGGCAGCCTCGCAGACCTCTTGTCTAAACTTAAAATATAGCCACTTGGTCTCCGCACGGAAAGCTCAACCTTTGCCGCGGTTTTCTCACCATCAGAATCGAACTCTGGGAAAGACTGGCATACCAAGTGGACTTCATGAACATGTCCATGCTGGCCCTTTCGATTTCTGACATTCACGTAGGGATGAGCCCCTTGCGATGACACCAACTGGTACACGTGGAGAAAAAGGCCGAGGTTTCAGTGGCTTGACATCTCCGTCTCCAACTCAGGTTTCTATCATTGCGTGGAATAGCAAGTTGCAAAATGTGCTGCCTGCCGTCCAGTCAGCTTAAGGATATTGCCAAAGCAAACTTGGTGCAGTCGACAGATCCATTCCAGTTGTTTTGGCCCCTCGCCACTCCGGAAAACTTGTATCACGTGTTCTCACACATACCCATTCGTCCTCACGGCTTCAGCCAAATGGTGGCAAAACTCTGTTTACATCTTCCAGCTTGGTACATGCTAAAGTGCGATGTCACAAGTTGAGAATGCCACGACTCGAATCATTGAATCCCAGCAATCAAACAGCTAGAAGGGCCAAAATACTCCAGGGCTTGCCAATTGGTGTGACTGCACCTGTTGAATAAGTCACAAAGTCTTCGCCAGTGAGAGTTATGTACGATTGGCCATTGAACACACCTAGTTTCTCCAAATTGCTGGCGACGTCCATCAGCTCCCAAAATCGACGACCACCCGGCGGCGGCACACACCGTGAACCCAGTCGCTGTCATTGGCCTCAAACTTGCAAAATGAGAGCCCGTGCGCATCCATCAGTCTTCTCATGTAACTTTCTCCCTTGCTTGACGGCATCGTTTGCTCGAATCCTCCAGCGCCTATACCAAAATCTGCTCCAGATGAATACTTATTTATGTGTATATATATATATATATATTCCTTGTAAATCATGTGTACAAATATATATATATATATATATTATACATATCATACCCCGCTGTTGTCAATTCACTTGGAGACTGCCCTGAGCTCGCAGCGGCCAGGAACAGGTCGCAGGACCTAGTCGACTTGGCAAAACTTTCTGGTGCGATATGCAGGGAATAAGAAATGGAATGACCCCTATACTTGGTTGGCGTTGGAAGGGGAGCAAAAATATAATTTTAGCAGTTAAGCGGTTGGATTTCAACCACTAAACCACAACAAGCAAAAATGTAAAATGTTTCCCAACGATAACCATGTATAAACCATCCATCCCACTTGGTTTCCTGTAAGGGAATCCCCAGGCTCATTCCCTCATTCCGTGAGCCAGCAAGAAACATGGCCTAGCCATGGGGAATAGAACCTGTTTTAAGGAGCGGTCGTCTTTACTCACCCAGCAACAAAGGGGCGACTGGGCCCATGTGGTAATTTATTTGGACATGTGCAAAATGCTTCAAGCACAACACGTTGGGTTTATTGGTTGAGAGCACAAGTCCTTCGTCGCGTGGTGGCAACCACGGCACACCTCGGCAGCTCAAGGAGCTCGCAATGCCCCGTGCGAGCTGCGACAAGCATGTGTTGGTTCATTTTGCGAGCTCACTTACCTGGCATGTTGGTCAAAACTCTCGTTTTCGTTTCTTCATTGATTCATGGGAAACCCACAATGGTTGATGGATGAGCATCCCTAGTAGGTCCAAGGTCTTTTAGCCACACATGGAAGCGACCAGATGCTGAAGCCTCGCTTCTCTGGGGCCTATGGCTGTTGCATGGACTCCTGGGTCTGCGCAGCCTCAAAGGTGGCCTGGCGAATGAGGGCGGATTGAGCAAAACTTTAGACGGAACCCTCCGACTCGGGCAACTGTTGATCTAGGAACGGTTTGGATGCGATTGTTGTGGATCCACCCCTGGATGTTAAAAGAGTGCCAAAAGGGTACCAAAAACACAACCTGCAGGGGGAGGGACAGGTCAAATCCACACAAAAAACGCTTCAAACCGCTTTCTGGAGTTGAAGCGAGAAGTACGGAGTTGATCTTCATGCCATGAGCAAGGCGCAAGCAGTGTGGCGCTCGTGCAAAGAGTAGTGAATGGCAACACCACTGCGCGGAAATAAAAACCAACTCAACATCAAACGTACAAACAATACTGTTATCGCAAAAGCCAGCACTGCTTCTGATGTTTCGTTCCCCAGCTTTCTTCACGCCATGATTTGTCTCCAAAAGGGTCCCGAGAAAATGAAGAGGACGCAGATAGAATGGTACCTCCGTTGGTTCACAATCAGTGTGAAGGTGGACAGGAAGCTATTTCGACATTCCGGACGTCTTCCAGAACCTATACATATATATATATATATATACATACATATGTACATATTAGACTCTGCAAAGTAGGTGCATCATACTGTAGCTTGTCACAAACACAATTGCACAACCTGAGCGCCGCAGTGTTGAAGCTTAACACATACAGTGCCAGTCTTCACCAAACACCAAAGAGCACTGGTGCAATTCGGGAATAGGATGCGCCCTACAATTAAAAACCACGTGCGAAGAGTCGTGTGATGGAGAAGAAGATCAAGAAGCGCTCGAACTGTGGTGGCATCGTGAAACATAATGCGGCCCGAATCTTGGCCTATCCCCACCCGTGTTGCTGCTCCAGCTTTCTCACTCAAATCTCCGTAGGCCATCTTCTAATTGCTGACCAACGGCTGCTGCTGTTGAATAAGGAGGGGGCCGAATGCCTTCTTATTCTAACCTCACAGGGCACAAGGCAAGTGTCGTGCGGAATACCATTGAGATTGACTGAAGAAGTGGCAGCAGTGCTTCTAATCCAAGCACATCGATGTTGTGTTTGCACAATCCTAGAGCTGTAGACGACACCGTCGATTACCTAATACATCATGCTTGCCTCAAACATTGATCGAGATCATGCTACAATTGACACACTTGATACATGTAAAAACTATCCTGCCCGGCCCATGCCTCCAATAATCTGTTGGTGCTGTTGCAGCGTGATTGCAGAAACTAAAGCAATATTCATGCATGTATTTTGTTCGGGGGCGCATCTTCGATGCTCCCCTACTAATATGAAATTCCATGGTTTCCTTGAAAGCAACAAGTCTCCTGCGTTGCTTGCCTGAGGCTGCTTGTTGGTGGGAGTGCAATCACACGACTCGAGATCAAGATCTTGATAGGAATGAAGCATGCCCCAAGCCTCGATTGCTTGATACAATTGTTTTGAGGGTCAACAGTCAAGTTCTATACAGCTTGCAGCATTTTTCAACCATGCTTGTCTGAAACAAAGCACCGGTGGCTCAGCGTAATCAAGTCGTTACGTGTCAAATCTGACGTACTGTGCCGCTGTTATGTGCCTTCCGGTCCAACAAACTGCAAACGCCCAAGCTATTCCAACTGCCTTTGACACACGCACGCGCACACACGCACACACACGACATCGACAAGAAATACACTTGGATGACAAAAGGTGCCACAGTTCTCCTGCCCAAGGGAAAAGCGTAATCTGAATCAACTGGTGGACTAGTGACATGGCTATGGGTCAAAACCCCGGTTAGCCCCCAGTGACCATCCCAATCCCCACTAACAGTATGTTCTGAAATGGGTGGTGCACCTACCCCAAAATGGGATCCCATTGGTGTTGACCGGCCACATCTTGCACCCGAGATGCAGCTCTGCTTCTACGGCGTAACCAGCGGCTCGAGCGCCCCGTGGCCCCACTTTTTTTTCTCCCGGCAGCTGTCTGCACATGAGCCGATGGCAGTGTTGAAGGAGATGACACCTGCAATGCGGGCAGTCATCGTGTGCAGCGCCTGACATGTTTTTCCAACCCACAACAAATTTCAGGCGCCTCGCGCATACATAGCTGAAAACTCAGGGCGAAACAGCACATGAGAATCACATGCAAGCAAAAACATCACAGTCTTCTTGCCGCTGCTCTGTAGGGAATGACCATTCTGGGCGTTGGGAATGAAGATGGCTTATGGGGGTCATCCCATGTCTCATTCCGCGCCTATTGAACCAGCAAGTCTCCTTGCATTCAGGCCCAGCGTATTGGATGCTTTGCAGGCCGCAAATCTAAATCGACCCGCACTGTTCACTGAAGCATACGTAGCCCTGACGCCGCTCGCTTGGACCAAGTAAATACGCCAGGGATGAGATCTGACAAATAGTTGGCTGAAGCTTGGGAGGCGTCAATAACTCTTTCCCAAAAAAACCCTATGGGGGTGGGTTCTCGTTTGGCTGTCTTACCGCGAGGGGGCGAGGATCGGAAGCATACCGGCTGGAAGCGCTCCGAGAGTGCAGCATACCGTGTACACGCCGTCTGGGCAAAGGCCGAGCTTTGGAGGCGCCGGGGGCCGTGCGCCGCCGTGCGCTGGTGGGATTTGGTTCAGCGAGGCGTAGCGATAACGAGGCCACATCCGTGCGCCAGGGGGATTGGGCGCGGAGACAAGTGCCGGGCCGTCCGTGGGATGTGCCTTGGCGGTCGGATTGAGTGTCCTGGTGGGACTTGGTCCGGCGAGATCGTGACTGGGAGGTCGAGGGTACTCGCGTTGTCGCAGAAGTCTCGCAGAGGTGGGGGCCGCGTACCCTGACGCAATATTCCCAGCGTCGTTTGCGCCAGTAAAATTTGGTCCGTGCTATCAGTCCGAGAGTCCCAGAGATTAAGGCGAGAATCCGAGAGTTTGGGAAGGAGCTTTGGGGACACTCCTTGCGATAGGGCTCATCGCAAGCAGTGTCCCCAGCCGCGTTTGTTTGTGTTGCTCTTTGCGAGCACCCTGCGTTTGGTGGAGCTCGTGATTTACACTTGATTGGCTTTTGGGCTCCCCGGCTCTCCTTTTCTCAGGTGACAAAATGCTAGGCGTTTTTTCCCCAGCTCATCCAAGTCTGCGCGATTAGATGAGAATTCAAATCTACAAAGCAGTGAAGCTCCTTCAGGCCTTCTGGAAGGCTCTTGACTCGCACAGCCACTAGCTGCTTGCAGGGCAAATGGTTTGATGCCCAACAGAAGCAACAGTTACGTACTCTAAGCATCAGCCAATGATTCTGGGCCTTCTGTTTGGTGCTGACATTGCACGCCTCCAGCTCTGGATACTTGTGACGTCTAACCGCTGCGCCTTCGATACTAGTCAAACAAATTTGTCAAACCACGGCCTGAAAATAGCTGTTCCTATCAGTAGTACGAGAACAGCCGCCATGCCATGACTATTATCCACCATGTCGCCCCCTCTGTCGCCATTGCCCCAGCCTGGGCGCAGCTTTCGCAGCGAGGTGCTGCGCAGCAAAAGCAGCGCGGAGCGCCACTTGCAGCAGGTCAAGGTCGCGTTGCAGGTTACCAGGTTGCCTTCAAGGCCTCGTTTCGCGAGCGCCGAAAAACGGCTTTGAATCAACTTGGCTAACGCCAAGAGATAGAACCACTTGGTTGGGCTGAAAAGCAAGGAACGGCCTGCGAACATCGAGCGCTGGAACTCTGTGCCAGGTGCCAGCGCTGTGTTTCCGGAGAGATGCCCAGTCGGAGCTCACAGGGTCAGAATGCTGATTCCTTGCGAAGTCCAGGATGAAAGTTGTTCTGGCCCGAAAGAGCAGCAAGAGCCACCCTTGAAGCCTTGCCCTTTAGAATCCACATGCTGAAAAGCTCCCGGCGGTCTTTCTCTATGACAGCGAGAATAAGTTTAGGTCATGTGGCGTCTCTTTTCTGAGCGCCCGGTGTTTGCCAGACACACTGACACGTGCATACGCACACAAAGGCTCAATCTGAATTGGGCGGCTGGTGAGCTGACATTAAATGGGCACGAGAAGAACACACGCTTACACTTGCCTTCTTGAATCTTCTTGAAGTGATTCTAGCTGCCCCTTGTCCCAGAAGCAGGGTGCAGAACTGATACGCTGAACTGGTTGAACAAGCTTCGTTAGCTCCGAATAGCTAAATGGTGAATACTAAATAATACCAACACCTTTGAATTGCTAATCGTTGCATGCGAGGGATTCCTTTTTGACGGTTTGTAGAGGCAGACACCCATGTTCCTTGCTGAGCGCACCGGGCAAAACGGAACATGTTGTTCTTCTGCTTTTGGAGGCGGCCAAAACAACAGAAAAATCGTCCAAACGGTGATAGCCATGCTGGATGAATGTAAACCCCCCCTTTGATTGTGAGCCTGCTGAATCACTCGGACGTTCTTGGGCAAAAACAGCTTCAGCTGGCAGCAAACCTACACATATCTGTGTGACCAGCCATGGATCACCACGGCACCAAGACTTTCCACAGAACCATATTCATCTCTTCTAACATGTGTCTCACAACACACGCTTTGAAATGCCCAAGTTGACTTGCCTTTGACACATCTGTTGTTTTTTGGATGGTCCCCTTTTTGGCTGCTTGGTGTTTCTTGGTAAACCACCGAGAAAACTGATCGTGTCCTGATTTCCTGAGTTGATAGCTGTTTGTTTACATTCTTTGCCACTAAAATGGTAACCAGACCCATCAAGTGGTAAAAGTCCAAAAGCTCCGGAGCCGAGTGGTTCGTTCTCGCCTTCATCCATGGCCTGCGCCAGCACTCCGAGGCCTCGCTGCCAAACAGCGGCGAACGCGCAGGCGCTGAGGGCTGAGTCCAAAGACACCACGTTGGCCCGCAGGCCGCAAGCCTAACCCGTGCCCAGAAACAAGAGGAGCCCAACCGCCTGGAGTGAACCGTAGCACGCGCCCCCTTGTCCCTGCCAACTGGGCCATGGACTGGATCTGTGCAGTAACTTGAACCAAGAAGTTGTCCCGCACAAACCTTTCTAGCTGCCACTTCAGATTCCAGAGAAAAAAAAAACGCGGGGTCTCTGGAACAAGCAATCTTGGCTTGACCCTCCTCCGGCCCTGAAGCCCAGATTCCAGCATTCTAGAGTCCCCTTCTTCCTTCAAAAAAAAGCTGGCACTTTAGAACATACAAATCTTCCCTTAACACTGTCTGTCCAGCCTCCAACCCAGATTCCATCATTCTAGAGCCCCCCTTTGCGTCCTACCCTCTAGAGTCCCCTTTTTATCAAAATATCGGGTGACTCTAAAACCTATAAAATCTTCCCTATTCTAGCGAGCCCCAGATTCCATCATTCTAGAGTCCCCTGTTAAAAACAAAAGAGCAGGGACCTGCACACGGCCACCTTGCGCACCCGTTCTGCACTGCACGGCTGGCGCACCCGTTCTGCGCCACACGACCGTCCCAGCAACCAGCCTCGCACATTTTGCACCACACAGCCGTCCCCCGATCCAGCCTCGCACACCCATTCTGCACCACTCTGCACCGCACCGGAAAGCCCGGCCATTTTGCCGCGCACACCGAAATGGCTTTCATCGCTCCCCGAAACCTAGAGGAACCTAAAGCAGAACCCAAGCATCAGAGATGCTTTTGGGAAAAAATCGCCTTATGGCGCCTGCGCCTTTAAAGGGACCGGTTTTCGGAGGGATTAAAGGGAACCCAAAGGGAAAACCCACGATTTTGAAGGGGTCCCCCAGAAAAAGGGACACACCCCAAGTGGAGCTGCTTGATATTGTTTGTACGCTTCCGCGCAGCTGGGAAATGACCCAAATCTGGCAGCAGGGAAATTCAGCAGGGAGCTTCTGCCACAGTCTACCCATCAATGCTTCAAAGGAAAGCCATCAAGAAGCATCAACAGAATCCAGCCCGCAGTATGCTTGGTGATCCCAGTTCTCTTAAACGCTAACTGGCGAGCAAAAAGGCTCGAAACTTGATCTCAGAAAATAAGGGCCACGGTGCTTGCTCATGCCACGTGGCTGAGATCGCAGCATAAAGCACAAGGGCCTCTTGCCAGTAGAAGCCTCAGAAATCAAGAGCGCGAAAGCCTCAATCCGAGTCCGGCTGGCAAACTCTACACGGATGCCAGGAAAGGCTGAATGCAAACAGAGAGGAACACCGTTTTGTTCATATTCGGAATTCGGGTCATGGATGGGTCTGAAATCTTCCTTGCACCAGAGACCCGTGCAAGATGGAGGCTGCTGATGGCTGCTGTCTGATGAGAGAGCACTCCTTTTCACTACTGTTTAGTAATGGCACGCGCACAAACAGCAAGGCTGCCAAAGGAACATAGTGCAACAGGATATAATTTGGCGCAAGACGCCCTGAACACAAAAAGCGAGAACTGCCAACTACTGGATAGCTAAGGGCTACAGACTGCGCACTGCTGAAAATCAACGCTTGCAGTGATTGGTGTTGGTGGCTCTTGACTGCAAACACAACATGAACGCTCCTATATCGACTGATACGCATCACTCTTCTCTTTCCGTGCTGTCTTTGCTGGATGTGGCTGATACAAAAACTCATGCGTCATGATTGATCCCAGTGCGGCAGTGCGATTGTATGCGCAACACACATGCAAGTAGCGTGAGACGCACCTCATTTCCGGTTGGTGTCAAGCCTTCCTGAAGATTTGTTTTTCTCTCTCCCTCTCTCTCCCTCTCTTTCTCAACGCCTTAAGCCAGTGGATGACTATCACTTTCACTGACCACGGCCTATTGAGCATCAAATCTGGAAACACGCAAATCGATGCACGTCTTAGTTGCAAGTTCATGAGATTATTTAACAAACGTGAGGCTTCGTTGTACAGACTGACGATGAATGCGTTCAGGCGTTTAGATTGATTGAGTCATTGAATCATCCTGTCTAAAATGAAAATGCTTACAACGTCTAATCTCAACTTGCTACGTAAACTTGTGAGGGGAAGCAGGCGCTTGCTTCCAGGAAAGGGCCAAGCCCCTTGGAACGACCTCAAAGGTTATTGGGACAGGGTGGTCAGGGGCGAAACCAAGGTAGCTCCTTCATTACCAGAACGCACCCTCCTGGTGGAACCTGCATCTCGAATTCGAGTTTGTTCTGACTTTCCACAACTAGTTATCATTGAACCACAATGACGATATACATCACCGAACAAACATGGGCAATTATTGTTGGCGTCCATGGATATTGAACGCACAAGCAATACGTGAAAGATTTGACGGGGAAGTGAATATCGTTGAGCCATGAACATACAAGGCAGAAAATGATATCGTTCACTGTTCTTAAAGCATGGCATGTGACATAAATGCCAACACTTGCGGCTTGTCGTTCAAGTGAAGCCCAGTGACCCTTTCCGCGCCTGAAGGCATTTTCCAGTCATGCAGCTACATCAGAACCGCATATTTTCTTTGAAGGCCAAAGACAAACACTGATCATAGTGCAAAAAGCACAGGTAGTACCAAGATACATATATATATATATATATAACAGGGAACGAAGAAACATGCGCATGTACCATGCCTCTGCCGCCTCCACCTACGCTTCCCTGCAGCTTAGGCCAGCAAATGCCCGTGAAAACGTCGGACTTTCATGATCAGCAATAAAGAAACTCATGCAACAGCATCTGAGAGCCAAAGCTAGAAAGCAAAAGTACGCTGTATTGCACCACGGACAATTCAATGGGTGGTGGGGCTTCTGCTTGTGAACAGAGAGTATAGTCTAGTTGCAGTAGCCGGAAATCAGCAGCAGCGGTTCTGCTGCTCAGGAAAGAGCAACGCTGCGTGCAAATAGGAAACATTTGCCGCATGCGCTGATCGCTGTGCTATAGGAGAAGACATCTGCTCGAATGTGCTTCTGCTGCATCTCATCCAGCCTCAAGCTAGCTGAACCAAAGTAAGCGTGTGACAGAGGGCAGCCATACCACCAGAAGAGCAGTCCGCTTCAAAGTGACCTCTGTTTGGAAGGCGAAAGTGGCAGTACACTGATACACGAAGCCAGTTTGCTGAAGCATCCATACACAGCCCTGACCAAGTCTTGAAGCCTGCAAGGAGCCAGCTTGTAGAAAAGCATCGAGGTAAACGAGCATGATCTGCTTCATCGTGCTCTCTGTAAATCAGTTGTCAAATGGCATAAACAGATCGCCCTCCCCCCAACATTTGCACCCCGCATTGTGAAATCTGGTTTCGCTCCAAATGAGCAGGTATCACTATCATTGTCAGTTTGCAATCTTTGCCGCCTACAGTGCGTTTGGGGACACAGCTACACTCAAAGAACAGAACTGGCCATCTTCCTTCTGTTTCGTAGAAGCTTTGGCCTCTTCAAGAAAAGCTTGCGAAACAGCACCGTTCCGTTGCCAACAACACTTGTGTCAAGCCTTCAAACTTCAAACCAAATGCAAACATGTTGCGGGTTTCCCTTTGTGGTTTCCCTTTAAACCCAACCTCAAGCAACCAAAGAAGGCCCTCCCCAGCCAAATTTCTTTGGCTGAAATGTGCCCAAGCGACATGCGCAAGGCCTGCTGCCATACCTCTCCATCCTCGCAGCAGCCTTGGGGCTGGTGACGCGTTTCTGGCTGGCGATTGGAAACCTGCATTTGCTGTTTGTCTGGCTGGCTTGTTGCATGAGAATTTACTCAGTTGCTCAGTGACCCTGGAAAAAAAGGGAACCCTTGGTGCCACTGAACAACTGGCGGGCACAGCGCTCAAACAGCAGCAGAGAGAGAGAGAGAGAGAGATTGGAAACCTCCAAATCTTCATTTGCTTGCTGGTGCTCAGTAGGGAATGACCGTTCCGGGTGTTATGAATGACCCGGTTTTGGGGATTCCCTGGGAAACCATAGGGGATGGTTTATAGGGGTCATTCCCACATTCCCTGCCGAGAACCAGAAAGTTTTCCTCGTTTGCGATCCGTTGGTAAGTGGTAAATGGCCGACCCGTCCGTAAAACCCACCTGGTTTGGTCACCACAAGTGGCCGAAAGAAAATGGAGGCTTTAAGGCCAAAGCATGGGCCAACTGCTTCTCAATTAGCGTTTCCATCCACTTCAGATTTGAGGTGTGGTCCAGTCATTGTTCCCGTTACAGTCGGGCGCGTTTTTGATGACTGACAAGGTCCTGCTTGAGTGACTAGTGCCCTTCCTTTCGATCTACTCCTCACGCCACACCTTTCTGAGCTGTTGCCGGTGTGCCATGTGCAAGCACAATATCCGCCGACCCCGCCTAGGAGCGTGCTCTGGCGGGGCGGCGCCTGGGATACCGAAGGTCTCATCGAAGGGCCGCCGAAAGTCTCATCGCGTGCGTGCCTGCGCCTCTCGCTCCACCGTCGCTAGTCTTCGTAACGGGTTCCGAAACTGCGCGTCCGGCACCCTCCGCGCGCGCCTTTTCGCTCCATTTGTGGTACTTTTGGGCACGCCCTGCCACTGCGCTTGAACGTTTCGGGGGGCGCGGGGGGCGCGCCTCTGCGTGACTGCGGCCCGGCCGTGCCTGGGCTGGGCTTGGCCCTGTCGCCCCCGGGCCCCTCCTAGTCTTCGTAACGGGTTCCGAAACTGCCGTTCCGGCACCCTCCGCACACGCCTTTTCGCTCCATTTTTGGTACTTTTGGGCGCCCTGCCACTGCGCTTGGGCGTTTCGGGGGGCGCGGGGGGCGCGGGGGGCGCGCCTCTGCGTGACTGCGGCCCGGCCGTGCCTGGGCTGTCGCTCCCGGGCCCCTCCTAGTCTTCCTAACGGGTTCCGAAACTGCCGTTCCGCCACCCTCCGCACACGCCTTTTCGCTCCATTTTTGGTACTTTTGGGCACGCCCTGCCACTGCGCTTGGGCGTTTTGGGGGGCGCGGGGGGCGCGCCTCTGCGTGACTGCGGCCCGGCCGTGCCTGGGCTGGGTTTGGCCCTGTCGCTCCCGGGCCCCTCCTAGTCTTCCTAACGGGTTCCGAAACTGCCGTTCCGGCACCCTCCGCACACGCCTTTTCGCTCCATTTTTGGTACTTTTGGGCACGCCCTGCCATTGCGGGCGCGGGGGGCGCGCCTCTGCCTGCACTGCGGCCCGGGCCGTGCCTGGGCTGGGTTTGGCCCTGTCGCTCCCGGGCCCCTCCTAGTCTTCGTAACGGGTTCCGAAACTGCCGTTCCGCCACCCTCCGCACACGCCTTTTCGCTCCATTTTTGGTACTTTTGGGCACGCCCTGCCACTGCGCTTCTGCGGCCCGGCCGTGCCTAAGTCTTCCTAACGGGTTCCGAAACTGCCGTTCCGGCACCCTCCGCACACGCATTTTCGCTCCATTTTTGGTACTTTTGGGCACGACTGCGCTTGGGCGTTTCGGGGGGCGCGGGGGGCGCGGGGGGCGCGCCTCTGCGTGACTGCGGCCCGGCCGTGCCTGGGCTGGGTTTGGCCCTGTCGCTCCCGGGCCCCTCCTAGTCTTCGTAACGGGTTCCGAAACTGCCGTTCCGCCACCCTCCGCACACGCCTTTTCGCTCCATTTTTGGTACTTTTGGGCACGCCCTGCCACTGCGCTTCCCGGGCCCCTCCTAGTCTTCCTAACTGGTTCCGAAAACTGCCGATTTCCGCCACCCTGCCGCACACGCCTTGTCCGCACCATTTTTGGCCTGCCCTGCGCGCTTGGGGCGTTTTGGGGGCGCGGGGGGCCGCCTCCGCGCTAGTCTCCTAACGGGTACCGAAACTGCCGTCGCTCCCGGGCCCCTCCTAGTCTTCCTAACGGGTTCCGAAACTGCCGTTCCGCCACCCTCCGCACACGCCTTTTCGCTCCATTTTTGGTACTTTTGGGCACGCCCTGCCACTGCGCTTGGGCGTTTTGGGGGGGGGCGCGCCTCTGTGACTGCGGCCCGGCCGTGCCTGGGCTGGGTTTGGCCCTGTCGCTCCCGGGCCCCTCCTAGTCTTCCTAACGGGTTCCGAAACTGCCGTTCCGCCACCCTCCGCACACGCCTTTTCGCTCCATTTTTGGCACTTTTGGGCACGCCCTGCCACTGCGCTTGGGCGGGGGGGCGCGGGGGGCGCGCCTCTGCGTGACTGCGGCCCGGCCGTGCCTGGGCTGGGTCTGGCCCTGTCGCTCCCGGGCCCCTCCTAGTCTTCCTAACGGGTTCGGAAACTGCCGTTCCGGCACCCTCCGCACCCGCCTTTTCGCTCCATTTTTGGTACTTTTGGGCACGCCCTGCCACTGCGCTTGGGCGTTTTGGGGGGGGGGCGCGCCTCTGCGTGACTGCGGCCCGGCCGTGCCTGGGCGGGGTTTGGCCCTGTCGCTCCCGGGCCCCTCCTAGTCTTCCTAACGGGTTCCGAAACTGCCGTTCCGCCACCCTCCGCACACGCCTTTTCGCTCCATTTTTGGTACTTTTGGGCACGCCCTGCCACTGCGCTTGGGCGTTTTGGGGGGCGCGGGGGGCGCGCCTCTGCGTGACTGCGGCCCGGCCGTGCCTGGGCTGGGATTGGCCCTGTCGCTCCCGGGCCCCTCCTAGTCTTCCTAACGGGTTCCGAAACTGCCGTTCCGGCACCCTCCGCACACGCCTTTTCGCTCCATTTTTGGTACTTTTGGGCACGCCCTGCCACTGCGCTTGGCGTTTCGGGGGCAGCACATGATCAAAATACACAAAGGGGGGCGCGGGGCACGCCTCTGCGTGACTGCGGCCCGGCCGTGCCTGGGCTGGGCTTGGCCCTGTCGCCCCCGGGCCCCTCCTAGTCTTCGTAACGGGTTCCGAAACTGCCGTTCCGGCACCCTCCGCACACGCCTTATCGCTCCATTATTGGTACTTTTGGGCCACTGCGCTTGGGCGTTTTGGGGGGCGCGGGGGGCGCGCCTCTGCGTGACTGCGGCCCGGCCGTGCCTGGGCTGGGTTTGGCCCTGTCGCTCCCGGGCCCCTCCTAGTCTTCCTAACGGGTTCCGAAACTGCCGTTCCGCCACCCTCCGCACACGCCTTTTCGCTCCATTTTTGGTACTTTTGGGCACGCCCTGCCACTGCGCTTGGGCGTTTTGGGGGGCGCGGGGGGCGCGCCTCTGCGTGACTGCGGCCCGGCCGTGCCTGGGCTGGGTTTGACCTGGTTGACTTCTTATGGAAGCTAATGACTTGACATGTTGACTCAAATTCTGCTTTCTCCGCCGGCGCCTCCTGGGTGCCTAGCGGGCCTTTTGCGTCGAGATGCTGTTGCAAGCCAGTCTTTGGACTGCGCTGTATGTGCAAAAACACGCCTCGCGAACCTGCCTGCGCAGGAACTGGTGGGCTTTTTTCTCTGCGCTCTATGCGATCCGACCCCCGCCATGGCGCGGGACGAGTGCCGCTGCAACACATGGACGCTAACTGCCCGCAAAAAAAAACAGGGTCGGCGGCACCCGGGCGTAGCCCGTTCTATCAAATGAGGAGCTTATGGCAGTGTTGTAGGTGATCGCATCTGGTTGAAGCTTGCGATGGGCCGCATCGTCCAGCAGAAGAAGCGATATCCGCCACTCGCTGTTTTCCCCACATACGTCAATGGACGAGTTGTAAGTGATGATGTCCAGCTGGAGCAACGAGGCTTCCATCCTAAGTATGTTGCTTATCGAGAAAGCAAGCAGGCAGCACAATCTTCTGACATGCCTTGACATCAATTCAATCCAGACCTTTTCAGCTCAGAGATACACAAATGACCAAGTGAAAATGATTCGAGTTGTATGGCCATAAACGTGGAAGTGCCCTTGTTGAAAACTGGTTTCTCTGGCTCTCTCTCTCTCTCTCTCTTTCTCTTGACAAGGGCTCCAAACACTTCCGTGCGAGGGCAATGGTGATCTCGTAACAACTGGCCATAGCATGCAAACCACCCTGCCTCATTGAACTGAATCAGATGTCCAATTCCAACTATTGTCTACCAAGGTCAGTTTTCTGCAATTCCTTGTTGAGCAAACTGTTCTAACACCATGAAGCCGTAGTTGTGGGTCAATATTGTTGCAACGTTGGAAGAGAACGGTCCTCTGATCCTGATACACGCTTGTCCCTGAAGCAGGAACGCGATCCTCCAAGGATCAACACTCACATAAGAGCCGCTCGATCTTCATGGACAATCTAAGCCACTATTGAAATAAATACGAGGGCATCAGTTGGCCCTAGTGGACGCCTTGTTTGTTGATGGTTGGCACATGGAGGTCCATGATTCAGCAAAGCCACTCTGCCATCAAACGAAGTGACTCTTGCCATGGTAGTTGACCTCAATAGCTTGGTAGTTGGACAACGAAGGGCTTAGATCTGTAAAACAAAATGACGCTCGGAACCCAGTTGAGTGGTGTTGCAAATCGCCGATGTGTTTTCGTCTTTTTTTCTTGACATCCTGTGACAGGTTCCGCGAAACCTTCGCGACATCCGCACACCCAAGGGAACACTCCGCGAGCCTCATCTGCTTCGGAAATACGCGCTCTGTCCGTTGCTCAGCTTTGACTAGCTTTTGCTTCCACAAGCGCATCTCTGGCCTTTGGCAGGCCTGCATCTGTGTGACGCGCGTGGTTCCAATGGCTTTGGAGCATAACCAAGCGCTGGCCAGGGTTTTGGTGACTCTGAGGCTGCCTTTGCACCATGTTGCCATGTTCAATCAATTCGTTTAGTCCTTCCGCGGAGCTTCCGCGGAGGAAACAGAAAACCTATTGTGGGTACCCACCCATGCACCAACCTGCCTGCGCACCTACCCACCCACCCACCCACCAATCAAACATGCAAGCAAGCAACCAAACAAACAAACGACCGAGCTTACAAACAAAAAACACACACACACAAACAAACCATACAGACAATCAAACAAGCAAACAAACAAGCAAACCAACCAGCAAACCGGCCACCCAACCACCCAACCGGCCACCCAATCACCCAACCAACCAATCAATGAACCAGTAAGTTAATTGTATCAATGAATCAACCAACCAACGAACCAACGAACCAACGAACCAACTAACCAACCAACCAACCAACCAACCAATCAATCAATCAATCAATCAATCAATCAATTAAATCAATCAGTCAGTCTGTCAGCCAGTCGATCAATCGATCAATCCATCAATCAATGAATCAATGAATCAATGAATCAATGAATCAATGAATCAATGAATCAATGAATCAAATCAATCAATGAATCAATGAATCAATGAATCAATGAATCAATGAATCAATGAATCAATGAATCAATGAATCAATGAATCAATGAATCAATGAATCAATCAATCAATCAATCAATCAATCAATCAATCAATCAATCAATCAATCAATCATCAATCAACCAATCACTCAATCAATCAATCATCAAATTCATCAATCAATGAAGGAATCAATGAACAAACAAACGAACGAAACAATGAATGAATAAATGAAATACATATATCAATCACTCATTCAATGTATCCATCAATCAATCAATCAATCATTTAAGCAATCAATCGATCAACCAATCATTCAAGCAATCAACAAATATATCAATCACTCATTCAATCAGCCAATCAAATCAAATCAAATAAAAAACAAATATATATATATATTAAAAAAAAAACACTTAAATCAAATCAAAGTCAATCAATGATTCAATCAATGAATAAATCAATCAATCAATCAATCAATGAATGAATGAATGAATGAATGAATGAATGAACGAATGAATGAATTAATGAATGAATCAATGAACAAACAAACGAATGAATCAATGAACGAATCAATGAACAAACGAACAAACAAATCAATGAACGAATCAATGAATCCACGAATCAATGAATCCACGAATCAATGAATCAATGATCAATCAATGAATGAATGAATGAATGAATGAATGAATGAATGAATGAATGAATGAATGAATGAATGAATGAATGAATCAATCAATCAATGAATCAATGAATCAATGAATCAATGAATCAATGAATCAATGAATCAATGAATCAATGAATCAATGAATCAATGAATCAATGAATCAATGAATCAATCAATCAATCAATCAATCAATCAATCAATCAATCAATCAATCAATCAATCAATCAATCAATCAATCAATCAATCAATCAATCAATCAATCAATCAATCAATCAATCAATCAATCAATCAATCAATCAATCAATCAATCAATCAATGAATCAAGCAATCAAATCAATCAACAAAATCAAAACAATTCAAATCAATCAATCAGTGAATCAATCAATCAATCGATCAATCAATAAATCAAACCAATCAATCAAACCAATTAATCAATCCCTCTCAAGAAACGTGAGGTATCATTGTTTTTGGAGGCCTGGCAGTTTTCAGGCCAGGGCAATAGGTCCTGCCCTGCGTTTGGACTGCCGAGATGCCCATGGTGCTGATGGCAGCATTGTAGACGATGACATCCGACTCAACACCTTGTGGCTCGGCCAATTCAAAGTTGGATCGTGTATTGGCCACCCCGGTTTGATTGTCTTTGCTGTCACTTAGAAACATAATCGGGTGTCCAACTCAAAGTAAAGATGCTGTGGTTGGCTTGTCGAGGGTTACCAGCTTGTCTGGCCATGCCTATGTGCCACGCCTACATATAACTTAACCAATGGCCACTTCCATGTTTCGAGATCTGCTGAGCGTGAAAGCAATACCATTGAATCATTGAATCTTACGTTACAATCACAATGCGTGATTCTTCAGGGAGGAAAATAGATGATACGTCTCTGTATGCAGGTATAGTACATAAATATATTATACATATATATATAGATATCAAAACTATGCTCTAGACATGCCCGTGCGGTCACAGGGTCACAGGGCGCTTGGTTTCACTGGACCCACTCCACCCAAGTTGTCGCCTGCCGCTCGCATCTGCGTCAGCAAGTGAAGTGCTGCCCCAGCTGCGCCGGCACGTCGGCAGGCCCGAATGGCTGTGCTGTAGCTGATGCCTCGTGCCCCTCCCCCCCGGGTCTGGCCTACCCTGAGCCATAGCAGAGCGGTTAACTTAAAATTAAGTCTAATTTAAACAAAGCAGTTAACTGAAAACATAGCAATTAACTGAAAACATAGCAGTTAACTGAAACAAAGCAGTCCTTGCTCCAGTCAGACACTTCCGCCAGAGTGTATGTGGTTGCCAACCTCACCTGGGACTCTGCCTCTACCGTTGGCTCTCTCGAGCGGCTTCAGGAGAGGCCCTGCCAGCTCGACCACTCGATGCCTGCAAATGCAAAGCTTCCTATGCAAAGGCCCAAGCCAATTCCTGGCTCAACCCGCCATGGTGTCACAAATGGTCCCGGACCCTGAAACAAATCATCTGCTGTACATGAGTGTCGCGGAATGTAGCTAAGACATATTTTCTCACTTGTATCGACACATTAACTCCGAAGAATCTGGGGGACCAGTCGTCAGGAGTTCGTCCACTTTCGAAAACTGAAACCTCATGTACTGGTCAAAATACAAATATTTATCTGGGAAAAGTCAGGACTGTTAAGGAACCTGCACTATGGCCGTCAGAAACCCCATAGCGAAGGTGACGCCCTAGAAACCAAAGTGACCTACTGCACATGGCTGGTGCGTGGACACCGCCCGTTTGCTCAAATGCCCGTTTTGCGCTCATCTGGGATGATTTGGATTGGTGGTTTGGTTTGGTGTTCCGAGTTCCGTGGGGGGGTCTTCCAGGAGTTTCTTTACCCACCAAAGGCTTGCCCCATATGGATCTGTCAACTGAGCCGCTTTCGGATGGCCTCAACGAAACCAAAGGCAAAGCAACCAGTTCAAACCAACTAGTTACGCCACAGGCAAACCCACCAGTTCTGAACCTCCATTTTGAGACACACTGGGGAATATTGAATTTTTGCTGTTTGTTTCTTTAAAAAAAAAAAAAAACACATCCCTTTGGGGGTCCCCAAAAACCAGCCGAAAAAAGAGGTACCTCCCATGGCTCGCATGCCACGGGATCGGGATCGATCCGATGCCGCGGCGCGGTCCAGGCGCAGCGCGGAGGCCAGCAGCCCAGAGAAGAGCTCCAGGGCCCTCTGCCAGTGCCCGGCACGCCTGGCGTTCGACAATGAGACACTGATGGCTGCGAAATCCATTTCGCACTCAGAGACCATGGAAGCCATTTGTTGGTATTTACAGGGGAATCATCAGAAACCAGGGTTTCTTAGGTGGTGCAGGATTTTGTCCATCCACAGTATGAATGGCTATGGTGTGGGTGGTATGGCTGTGGTTGTCAAAACTGTTCTGGGATCCCATTTTGGGGTAGGGATGGGACCACCCATTTTAGTCCATTTTAGTGGGGATTGGTTCACTGGGGGTACGGGATTCACCAGCTAACATGGCTTGGTTAGCACAGACCCCTGTAGAAAGTGTCCACTTTCCTTTTGGAAAGGGCCTTTTTGCACTTCTACTTATGTTAGTTGGTGGATGCATCAAAATTCACCACAACCCACTTTCTTCAGAGGGGCCCTGAAAAAAAATGAATTCCATGCCCATTCGAGTCTTTCTTCGGTGAAATGTTTCCCGCGTTTGTCATGTTACTTTTCGAATCCCTCCGCCTTCTGCCCAACAGTCCCAAGAGTTTGGCGCGGCTGGGGCTGGAAGCCGAGTGGGTTCTTCAGGTGCATCAAGGCAAGCACTACACTCCAAAGCTACGTCAGTGTGCCCGGCCTCGACCAATCCAAGTCAAGAATTCTGAGTTGGAAATGCATTAAGATTTTATCTAGGGGCGATGCTCTATTGTGTGATCAAGATCTGCAACAAGATTGTCACACTTGCGTAAATTCTATGCTTGGTTTCTTGCAGTAGTCATGTTGCGGACAAGTCATGTCATTGGAGTTGCGTGGGTTTGGCTCTTCACGCGGTGCAATCAGCCCCGGTGCTGGCTGCCACCGTTCCTCAAAACTCACAAAGCCAAGAGAATCCCAGAAAAAGAGCCGCTTCGTGAGCAACTCAGCTTTGTGCCTTCAAAGATGCTCTGGCTTGCTCGAAAGGATTGCTCTCAGTCTCAAATGGGGCGGCGCGCAAGTGACTCAATCATGCAATGAATGCCAGCCGCACTCGCAAGCCGCACTGGCCGCATTGTAGAGCGCAGTGTCGGCGGCTGCCTTTCTGGGGAGCCAAGGGTTCATCACATGTCCGCAAATCAGAACCAGAACATGTTCCAAGGCAGACTCGGTCCTATAGCTCCCAAGCATGCACTCGAGGGCCGGGCACCGCAGAAATGACATGATCATTAGACTGAAGACACCCAGACATGAAAGGAAGTGCAATGCTCACATCTCCAAGGAATGTGTTTGGTCAAGGTCAGAGGACCCATTGATGCAATTACGCCCTCTCGAGTTTTCTTGTTTTCCTTCTGAGGATCAAACAGCGCAAGGCCTTGCCAAAAAGCCTTGCGCATGACTCAGGCACACGGAAAAACACCGCCAGCTGCGAGCGAGAATTCGAGCTTCTGTGTTGACATAAAGCGATTCGTGTTGTTTCCTCAGGTGTTTCAGGGCCTGTTCATGTTTTCGGAGGTAGCACCCTTGCGAGAGCCGCTGGCCCTCTTTTGGCGCTCAGGAAAGCTCCAGCCCCCAAATGAAGACACACGATTGATGGCGTTTTTAGGTAGTTTCTCACTGCGAAAGTGCTCGCTTTGAACTTCGGTCTTGGATTCCCATTGCGTAGCCCCCTGACATTGCTTCGCAAAACAGAGCCTCCCAAACGGCAAGGGACATTCTGTGGATGGACAAAATCTACTTTGCACCAGTTGGGATGGTCGAAGCCCTTTGAATGGCATAAACCACCTACCAACTGCAGGATTTCATCCGTCCGCAGGAGGAAAGGCAGACCCAGTCACCAAGGACACTCGCCTGAACCGGTAGCCCCAACTGCCCAGTGCCTCGGGCAGCTGCCAGAAAATCTCCAGGGCCTGCTGCCACTGCAGCTGCCGGCCACCTGGGCTGAGGCGAGTCTGCAAGCTCCGCCAGTCTGAGTCGACATAACTCGGACTGCGCGCGATGGGATCGCGCAAGCTTGCTGGAAACATTGCCCCCCCCCCCATCCACCCATTTGTGCCGTATGGACACATTGCCCCCCCCCCTATCCACGTTTTTTTGTGCCGGTCACATTGCGTAAGCGTCCGTCGAACAACTTTAGGCTTGCCTCCCGGTTCGAGCACCTCCGGCGTCGTGTTGCTACCAAGTACATAACCAACAGGCACTTGACTGCCTAATCGTTGACGGACGGAACTTCCGAAGGTGGACCGGTGGACCACACAAACGTCAAACAGCAAACTTCCCAAGTTGGACGAGCAGAAACAACTTCACTGTCTAAATCTCGGAGAGAAGGCCCACGGACAGAAATGCAATGGAAACGCCCAGGGTTGATTCCCTTGCCTCCAAAGATCCACGCACATCTCAATCCTCGCCCTCTTGCAGTTGGGTTGCTGAATTGCTGAAACAATATGAGGGTCTCCGCATGCTGGATTTCCTCTTGACCTCCCTTCAAACAAAACAAAAATGACATGCGCAAAGTTTGGACACCCGCATGACCCATGTTGGTTGCTTGGATTGGATGGGCTTTTGGTTCCCGGAGGAGGTCGAGGTGAGCTTGCGATCCTAAGCCCGAGGCTGAAATGGTGACAGTTTCGTGGACTTGTGACTTGAGACATGGTGAGGTGCTCACAACTGTTAAAAGGGCTCTTTAGGATTGGCTTTTCTAAACTCCTCTGGCGACACTTCAATTTGTAGACACACGCGCAACCGCGAAACGACCCGTACACCTGAATTCACCTCAAAGCCACCTCTGATAAGTTGCGACGACCTTGCAAATGCTGGACTTTAAAGGGGTCAGCTCTAGCGTGGCGCGGTGCCACTGTCAAAAACGAGAACAAAACAGCAGCGCTGTTCCAACTCTGGTGAACAGCACCATTGAGTCTCAGTTGTTCAGCGACCCTGGGAAAAAAGGGAACCCTTTTGACACGTGGCGCTTCAGTGAAGACATGCGGAAACGCAGGTCACAGGGGCATGCCGCCACCTGAACCGGTTACAACGGGCAACTGGTGCCCCGCAAAGCCGATGTGCCGGGGCTATGCCACACCCCACACATGGCGAAATGGGCAGCGGAGTGCTGCGTGAAACAAGGGTGCAAGCAGAGGTGGCACCCTCAGCCCAGAGGGCTCATAAAATCAGTGGGGTGCCAGGCCAAGTGACAGGGCCTGGACATCACACTGCACTGGAGACTCGCCGTTTGCCAGCTCAACAAAGCTATCAATAAATCTCCACACAGCTCCGAAGAGGTAGAGAAGAAGCACCACCGTGGACCACCACCAGAACAAAGTCGAAGCCCGAACGGGAAAAACAGCTCGGAGTACCTTCACGGAAAAGGCGTTCAAAGGAAAGAAGCAAGCCACGAACAGAGCCAATCCCCATCGCAGAGATTGGAGCATGCAAGGCCAGGGAATCCTACACGGGTACCACGAAGTGTAAGGGCAGCGCCATCGATCTGCAGAATAGGGCCGCCCCGTGGAGCCGAGACAATGTAGACCGCCTGGTAGAAGTAGCCACCAGGAAGTGCCGAGGAGACCAAAGAACAGGGCCCATCCCTGCATACAAAGATGGGCACATGCAATGATGCCCCCTCCAAACTGATCCACACCGCGAAGCCAGGGTGAGGTAGAGACAAGTCCCACAAGTAAAGGAGCCAAGAGCTGGCCGAACAAAAGCAGCGCATCAGTCGATGGAGTCGACAGGTGTATGAAAATCTTGAGGAGCCAGCAGAAATACACGACATACACCATACAAGCTCGATGAAGAGCTCGACGACAACCAGAGGAACCGAGCGGCCGCCAGGGGAGGCTGCCTTGTTGGACGCCTCACCCCTCCATGGAGAGGCAGCGAGGCCCAGGGGGCTCAGCTCCCAGAACCCAACGGCTCAGTGGCTCACTCTGAGCCGAGAGGGCTAAAAGGGAACCCTTTTTGGGGAAGACCACTTTTAGTGGGGCAGCCACCACAAAAAAGGGAAAAAGGGTGCCACTGAATAACTGAGGAAAGGCTCGTCAAGTGGGATGCTGTTGCCGATCTGTTCAAACATTTCTGCTCTCGCTCACCAACATATCAGCAGACTGCGCTTCTTCTCAGGCTGGCGTATTTGCAAGTTTGGAAAGGCCCCGTGTGGTCTGGAATTCACGTAGTGTCCATTCACAGCACGTGTTTGGCGTTTGGACGGGATTTAAGCAGAGATATGCAACGGTCCGAGGCGCATTTGGGAACACGAAGATGCATGAAAGGGGTCACTTGGCCGAAACGCTAGAGCAGTGTTGGCTTAGAACTGGCCTGCCAGACAAAAACACCTGATAACTTTAATCCGGGAAAGCGGCAATGAAGTTTGTGCAACACCGCTAAATCCCATGTTGTACCATATCTGGGCCTCAATGTTGAGAAGACTGCAGCTTGATTGCAGGTGTCGCAGGAAAGCCATCACTGGCGCTCCTACCCCCAAGTGCTCCCTCTATGTCTGGCACGCGTTTTTTTGTGCGGCCGAGGCACATCTGCTGATTGCGCTGGTTGCTGCAAACGCAGACATGCAGCCATGGCAGTATACCAACTGATCCCAAAAATGGTGGAACCAGCCAGTGAGTGTTTTGCAGCAGCATGTGGAACAATGTGTCAAACATCTAAAGAAAAAGCAGCATCTGCACGATTTGTTCATCTGTCCTGAATAAGTACAGCCAAGCAAGTAGCATGGAACATCTAGATGCAACTTGCCTACTTCCACTGCTTGGGTGGGAGCATGTATCAAAAAACGACTGCTTGTTTGTGGCTCGAGATCATATTGGTGTGAGCTGATTCTGCTTACCTACCCTTGTAAGCACACATGCTCCTCAGTCGCAGCATTCCTATGATCTTCCACTACTTGCGGCTTGCCTCATTGGCATGCGCAAACCGAGTCAAACACTGCTGCGCTCAAGCATGATTTAGTTTGAGGGGCTTCTTTGAGTCTCTCCCTTTCCCTCTCTCTCTATATTGTATATGTATACTATTTCTTTCTCTCTAGCTCTCTCTCGGTATTCTCTCCGTGTGCACCGAACATGTGCGTTCAGTAATTTCATGCTCCTCGCACAGCACAAACTCTTTCACACACACACACACACAACACACACACACAAGCATCGCAATTCGTGTTGAGCACCACACATTGCATCAGAAAAGGGACTAGAGTCTTCGTGTTTTGGCAGAAAAAATAATCATGTTCTTCAATGCCCGCAGGCTTTCGAGATGCCCCGCAAAGGGCCAGGTGTCGGGTGGGGCCAGGCCCCTGTAAGTGGTCCAAGCCCCAAAGGGGAAACATGGTAAGCAGTGAACGTGGCCCTTTGACGTCTCTCAAAGGCTGGCCAGGCCAAGCCTTTGATCCAACGATCTCGCCTCCAAGTCGGGGCTCAACGTGCAGGGCGGCAGCTTGGGCGCCATGTGAAACTCAAAGACGTCGTTGTGGCGCCTGGAAAGCATCCCAACAAAAGCGTCTCGGGTTGGAGACAAAGGGTGGCCAGCAATTGTCCAGCAACCGGATGAAAGATCCAGCTAGTCAACCCTTCGAACTCTGCTTGTTGCCGGCGTGCTATGGCCGAGGTGAGCCGCATGCATCGGATCGGTTGGTGTTTGGGAGTGCCTGGGTCTTGGCTTTGAGCCATGTTCGGCCCCGGATGGCCAGGCTACAGGCAAATGCGTCCTCACGTGTGGTTTTTGGATGCTGAACTTGCTTGAACCCTGTTTGTACGTGCTTTTGAGAAACGTGCAAAAAGCCTTTCTTGTCGGCTGCGGCCTTGTGCATCCCAGCATCCCCCAGCTTTATCAGGCTTGGGTGCCACGGTAGCTGTTCATTCCAAAAGCAGAGTTCGAGAAAGCCGAAGGCTTTCAAAGGCCAAGTTGCTTGGTAGTTTCTTGCATCATGCGGCATGACTGGAGTTGTTTTTCTCAGATCTCCTATGGGTACACCACGGTTCTCCCCCGCATCACGCCGTTTGTTGAAGCAGTCAGAGGCACTAAGCAGCGCCAAATTTACATACAAGGACGGTAGAATACATTCATAAAATACCCTCCCATGACAATGGACGTAAACAAAGCTCCTGTCAAGCTTTCATAATTCGCAACTGATTCACTCACTGCACGCGGGAACAATTTATTTCCTGTCTAAGGCATGTTGAAACACGCTGAGAGTTGCTCTGCCGCGAAACACACCATCCATTTCAGTTGCAACCCCAGCTGATGACCTCGGGCAATGCCGAAATGAGTTGCGCCATATTCAAACCTTTTGAACGGAAGCTGCTGTCACATTATCACACGTAATCATATATGTGTTGCAACTCCACAAATTGTATCCGGTCAAGACTGACATGCAGGCAAGGGTCAAGCAAACTGCATGTGAAAGCATCAGCTGCAGTCGCAAGTGCTAGCGCTGGTCACGAGACTTGTTTGCTTGAACGTAATACTCTAAAGCCCTGCATGGAGTATTACTCCAAAGCGCTGAAGGGATCTGCTTTGCAACAAAGCAAAGCAACAGAACACACACCCCATGATGGGACCACTTTGTGGAGCCATTGGGTGGTGCTTCAGCATGGGTCATCACGCAACATTGAATTGGTAGATCGAGCCAAAGTGACCCCGCACTTGGAGGGCCCATGACTTCACACATTTTGATGCTGGAAGTGAAGCCAAGCGCTCACCCAGCGGGCCGAAAATGGACAAAGTTCTCACATGATTAGAGTTAGGCCCAGTTATAGAATGTATATTTTATTGTTTGCTTCACTTTAAGTCACTGGTAAAATGTGAAATGTATCCTAAGTCTACCCAAGTTCTCACTGCACGAAGGAGGCTGCCGCGCCCACCAGGCCCCCCAGCTGCAGAGCAAGCCAGGTAATCTGTGCCACGATGGGGCAGGGCAGCTCGCCGTGATCACACAAGGACTGGGCCCTCTGTGACACCAGCATGGCGGCGGCTCCCCCTGAGAAGGACATCATGAAATAGGTTGCGATGATGCTGAGGTTGAAGGGATCTGGCTGCACACCCTGCGCATAGCCCATGACCAGCGGGACAAAGAGCAATCGGCCCAGAACCAGCGCGACCAGCAACGTGCCAGACGGGGGGCGCAAGGCCCACCGCCCTCCAATCGCAACACGACCCCCGAAGTTGGCGATAGTGTGCGTTGAAATCAGAACCTGGGTGAAAGGGTGCGACTCAAATCAACGGCCAAATCGCAAATCTGGGCTAGCAAATGACAGCAACAAGCATCAAACGCAAACGAGTATACGTCATTCCTGTCTTGGTAATACAACCAAACAAGCTGACAAATAAAATATCTAAGAAACCCGACGATTGGTGGCTGTTTTAGTCTCTAACAAACCAGAAATGGTCAATGGGGATAATGGGGGTTCTGTGCGCTGCTCAGAATCAACTTCGAGCTATATATATCGTCAGGTGTTCCCTGGTGCTCGCTATCACCAATCCATAAACCCAGTCCGAATAAAACAAACTGGCTGGTTCTCGAATGTCGCCAACCCAAATGCGGGCAAGCCAAGTTCAAGTCTTGAGGTGCAAAAAATGGCTTGTTCTGCTTCCTAGGTGGAGACTAAGCAGGGATCCTTACATTGTACACCTGAACATTGCCTTGTAAATGGTGGTTTCCCTTTATTTTGGTGGAAAAAGCCATGTTTCAAATGGGCAAAATGTATCTTTTAAGGAGCCCTGCTAAGAAGCGCAAATATTGCTTGGTGAATGAGCGTCTTCCTCGAGCTGCGTTTTCAGTGCTAAGCCATGGGCAAACAGTAGGCTAGGTGGGGCTATGTGAAGAAAAGCTGCCAGCCAGCATTTGTTTCTGGAGCGTTTTCGCCTCTGATCTTCAGCAGAGCGGCCGTCGCCAGAAACCGCTGCCCTCCAAACCTTGCGGTGATGTGAGGGGAGAGCGCCAGCAGGAAGCTAGTGACCGACACACTGACCACCTGAGCCAGAGCACACCACCTCACGGTGGCCCAGCGCTGCAATGCGACGGAGGGCTCGGTTCCGATGGTATACACCTCGGAGAAACAAATCAAAGCACCGTATCATCGAGAGACTTGGTACCTTGAACATCCCAGTTTGCAGTTACGGCCGTTGTGGCATCCTGCATACTGAAACAATCTAGCTCCTCCAGTAGAGAGGTTAGAATATATTTTAGTAGGGGAACCCTCCCCAAAAAAAAGGCAAAAGGGCACTACTGGGGGACCTAGTAATGACAACATCCATTCCCAAATGACACTAGCCACAGAAAAAAATAGAGGATCAGGCCCTTGGCCCTTTGCCCCGTGAGGCGCCTTCAATGCTCAGCCCTCGAAACATTCACCAAGCACACTCGAAATATTCACAACAAGCACACCGCATGTGACCTCTAGCCGAGGTTCAGGACAGGGCGGGTCAGCCGCCCAAACGGAGCTCTGAGAAAGCCTCTGCAGGCATGCCAGGGCGGATGCCAGAAGACTCGCCGCCAGAAGAAAGACGATGACTGTGGACTGACCAATGCTGGCGTTGCCCCCAGCGACCAGGGGCATAGATGCCATCTGCACCGCCATGGGAAGGAGAATGGCTCCTGTCACGTACTGGGCTGAAGGCAATCGCTGAGCTATAAGACATTCCGTCTCCTCAAGGAAAACTTGGTCCACTCAAAAAATGGAATGGCCCCATTGCGCAGAAAAAGTAACATGCTGATATTGAGTGGCTTGCCAATGACTTGTTGAGTCAATTGAGTGATTTAGACAAACCTCATGTATCAACAAATCTCAACATAAAACAGCCGGCGGATTTCGCAGCAGGTTTGCGGAAGGTTCCGCGTCTCAGGCAAGTGCCTCGTAATTAGCAGCGGTAGCCCACTGGAGCCCAAGCCTACACATGCTGTACCAACACAGGAAGAACATTACTGTCCTTGCTTAAGCTGACTTTTCTTTCTGCACCAATCCTCGCGGAAGAAAAGGCTTGTAAAACATGCACCGCGGAAGGTTTGCGGACGCAATCTGCAGGTTTAGCTTCATTTCTGCGTCACGGCCTGCGTATTTTTTGATTCAGAATGCATATCATGCCGCCCAAACCCTTGGAATTGACATACCTAGCACAAGACGCACCCTCAGCAATGAACCCTAGACCAGAAACCAAGGGCAGAGGCTGAACCAGACTCAATCACACGTGGGGGCTTTGCGTTCAAGAGCTTGCTGAGCCATACCAACAGGAACAGTTGCCGACTTGCACATGACACTCCTTCGCATGCCTCTGCGCGTGTGGCGCGGTGCACATTGTCAAGAATAATGTCCCTCTCACTACTACTTTCAAATTGCGTGCAAAAAAAAGGCCTGTCTCCATTGGTGGCACTCCAACTAATTGTTTCTTGCAAAAAATCCAAGGATTCCAAGCAATCCGAAGGGATTCCACGTTTTTGAACCCGCTCCGGTCTCCTCCTGCACCTTTCAGAGCCCATGCACTGGCATCGCTCTGAGGGAAAGACTCGGAGAAGATGCCACCTCTGGGCAAACAACTTCGCAATGCCAAAAATGACTTAGAGCAACTTCAGTATGTCCAGTTAAGGGTGGCATAACTTGGACTTAGAGCTCCTGCGACCAGCTGGCCAGGAAATAAGGAAGCAAAGTGCTGCAAAATCAGAAGTGCAATGGGCACATATTGACATGAACCAAAAAACAGCGTGCTCATTCAGCCGCAAGCTTCTCAGTGAGGCCACCATGCTCTGCATGATGCCACTGCTGAGTCCGCCTCATGCAAGACCGCTATGAGATGGCAAAGGCAGCTGTGGCGACCCCATTGAACCCAGTGCGTCACACACATAACGAGACCATGATCATTAAAATATTGTGTGAATATTTGGATGACATTCAGGAAAATATATCCATTTTATAGACGTATTTTATCAAGCATGGATTCGCGTGAAATGTTTCATGCACCCTACGTGCAAAAGTGCCACTGGCACAAGGCCATAGGTTGTTGCGCGCGCCAGGTCCCTCGGCTTTCTCTCAAAGCGATCAGCCGGTTGAGCCCGGATCATTTCGCCGAGAAATACAGCACTTTTGCTCGGTGCCAACGCCCACGATCAGATGAGTTGGTTTTACTCGGCGGTTCAAACTGGAGGCTTGGCCAATCCGAATCCAGAATCCCTATCGGGAAGCCACTACACAGGGGACCAGTTCCTTGCATAACCATAGGCAAGGATGCAGGATTGCATTTATGAACAGACCAGTTTTAAGCGTCGAGACCACCTGCGCTGAGCTCAACTCAAAAAATGGTCCCAGGGTCCAGTCCCAAGGCCCAGGTGCACGCGGCCACCAGCACGGAGATCCCCAAACCCGAAGGCTCCAGGCCCAGAGATGCCACAACCAACAGGAAGATGCACAAGCCCAGCATGTACCTGGCCCACAGTTCACCGGCCCGAAATGAGATCCTAAAGCCTCCTGTAACAAATGGACAGGAATTATCTTGAAGATATCTTGGAATGGGTTGGAAGGCGCCGCAAGCTTCGGGAAATCCAGGATTGGGTCCTTCCAGGCTTACCAAGGAACCTTGGCCGGCCTGGTATGCCTTCGAACACTGCAACATAACACTGACAATACATGTGTTCTTGAATGTGGATCCCCTACAGCTCTAAAGAATCACGTGCTATTAAATAGGACACAGCCTGAAAGAAGGACAGTGCGTGTTGCGGCTGCCTATCCATTGCTTGAACCGCGCCGCTAAGGGCATCCAAGACAGCATGGCTAGATGTCTTGCTGGGGCTTCTCGTGCTTGCGCGCAACTTGCGCGCGGCTTGCGCGCGGCTTGCGCGGATTTTGTCGTGTCAGCTGCCAGTTGCTGATTGTTGAAGTCATGACCGCAGAAGCTTTGGCTTCGTTTGGCGTCTGACTGAAGAAAATGCCGCACCTTTGCAAACAAGCTTGTGACCTACACATGACCCAAGCAACATTCGAAAAGCACAAGTACTGCAAGAAGATATCACCTCCTTTCATGAAGCTAGGCAACATCAGTACATGAAACCCTTCACAACTGTAACCTTGCGCGTCCCTTGGGCCGCACTTGCGCGCTCCTTGCGCGCGCACAGCTTTTGACAACTTTACTTCTCCCCGTTCGGCGATAATTAAAACCGAAGACTGGGGTTTTAGGACGGCCCTCATTTGAATCTTGTGGAGGAATCATTCCAGGGTCATTCTGGGCAAATGCGTTGTATGCTGCGTCTGGGCGGCAGGAGGCAAAGCCAGCAACTCCATATCATCGCGCCTTGGCGGTAGTTTTGTTGCCGTGCTCAGGCCCATACGCCAACATTCACGAAAACTCCTGGAGCAAGTTTGGCGCAAGCTCTTTCAACTAATGGACGTGACAGCTCAGTCCGCTTGCAATCCGGCCAAGGCACGGATCGACGGCTGTTTCTTCAGGCAGAGGCACAGCAGCATCGCCAGGAACAGCGGCAGGCTAAAGCACAAGGACAGAATTGAAAGCACCCGCACCCCGAGGATCTGCTGAAAGTAGGCCACCGAAAGGTAGATGCTATCCCAGGCAATGGTCGTCGAAGCACCCAGCATGAAGAAGCACATGCCAGTCTTGTCGCCCTTGACATCGCCAAGCAATGGCTCCATGAGACGGTGCAAAGAAGGACAACCAGTTGGAGACTTACTAATTGCCTGTAACAAGTAACAAGGTACAAACATGTTGCGGTATTTGGCATGTCCACAAAACAAAGCTGTTCAATCGGAGAAAACAAAAAACAAAAAAAACGCAACGAGATCCCTTGTACACGTCTTAGCCTCTGATTGCTCAAGAGGCAAGCTCCAATGTGCAAATCTGCCTTCGGGCTTTTGGAATAAACTCACGTATGGGATTCATTCACACAAATGAGTCTGAAACACACGAGAGCTCAGTTGCTGATTCCAAGGTCTTTGAAAGCGTGGGCCTAGCTGGCGTTCCTCTGATGTTCGTTTCTCTGCTGCCAGTGGCTCGAGCCAAATGGCAGCAAACTTTGTAGCTGAGGCCCCATCTGCTTTGCTAAGATTACCTCCAAAATATGCTGTTAAAATATATGCTGCTCCTCTCAATTTCTTTCATGTCCAAATCATAAACTCTTTCTCCATCTGCCCGGCCAGAAAAAGGGAAAAGACACTCGACGCAGAAGCTTGGATCACAGGTCATCTGGAATTTTCACCTTGCCTCACAGGATGCAGCTGCATCAAGGTCGCCTGATCCAGGGGTAATCCACCGATTACATGGGAAACACTTCCCAACAGCGATCGCCAAACCTCCGTCGCTGAGAAAGCCGGATTGTTCCGATCTCTTGCCAGTGTGCTCTCACATATACCCGATGTTCCGCGAAGAAAACTTGTTTCAAACCCTCTGGCCCACTGCAAATGACCGGGCAAACTAGAAAAGAACAACTCTGCCTGAGAATGAGAAAAAGGTCTGCAAAGAACAAGCATTTGCAAGGTCTTCAGCAAGGGTCGCAACAATCACCAAGGTTTGGCCGGTTGGATTCCAGGAATCTCCTGTCCCGGAGTCCCGGAAAGGCCAATCCCATAGGCCACCCCCCCCGCAGGTCCCATCCCTTCCTCATGCCATTGGAACCACCGAACACCACCATGGAATCCTGGGAGCTCAGATCGGCCGCTGGGAAGCTTGGGAAGCTTGGGAAGCTTGGGGTTCCCCGAGTCAAAACAAATCGCTATCAAAATGGTCGACCCAGAACCGTGCTTCAAGAACTAAGGCGGATATCCGCAGCGATGTATGGTTGGGACTGCCCAATTACTAACCTTCATCTACCCGGGTTTTGATTGTGGCTCAGTTGACGAGGGGCAAACACCTGCTGTGATGAAATTGGTGCCATGGTCTGATGGTCTGGCAGTTGTGAACAGCGAACAGTATTGCAAATCCCTCCTAACATGACAGCAAAGCATTCAGAGAAGCTAGAACTCTTTCAAACAGATGAGCTCGGTCAGCTACACTGTTCCATCGCCTTTGCTTGCATTTGTGTCCACTGGTCGGTGGCTGTTGAGAAGCCTGACCAAAAGGACACATGTTTGGTCGGAGTTGGAAGATGGCTAGTCCCCAGCATCCAACCGTTGGGATTCTGCAGGGCCAAGATCTGAATTCGGTGCCATCGAGCTGTCAAGCAATATATTTAACAAACCCATTTGATACTTCGTACAAGTTCTGTTCCAAAAAATAAAGTCTGCTGCTGTCGCTGCATGGGGGGATAGCCTGATTTTCAGCAAATGGGCGGTTGGCTCAAGCCTGGCCATAGCAAGAGGTCCTGCTTGCAAGCATGAGCCATTTCTTTCAAAGTAACACTGCCAGTTCCCAAAGGATTGCTCCTGTTCTTGGCTCCATCGAAATGAGAACCGCTGGAAACAGGCATGAGCAGGCACTACACGAGTGCAGCACACCGTGCCCGGTCCCTTGGTGTCCTTTCGCAGAACTGCAGCATGGAAGTCACGACCGGGCGGGCAGTCTTTGCCATGCACCTGTTCGTGCACCCCCTGCCCCCTGTGGAAGTGTGACCGAATGCAGATTTCTTCAGCTGGTGAGCAAAGCTCAGGTAAAGAGTAATTGGCGAAGTGAACACCAACAACATGGGCCAGGCCCTTTTTGCGAACTCGAGAACTCTGGTGCGCTGGTGTTTGGTGTGCTGGCCTAAAGGAAAAAACAGAGCGACACCCAGCAGCTTCAACGGGGTTGTGGATAGCGCGGTAGGGCGCCGCTGACGATCAAAGTTAACCAACACCGGGCCCAAAGCCGAGCAGTGAGGCAAGTGCAGGATCCATAAACTCGTCCTTGATTGTCTGCCACTTAGAGGGTCAACGCCCAGACTTAAGACATGCAGTGGGCAAAAGCTGCATTGTGTACCGTGGCGAAAGTGAAGATGGTTGCATTTGCTTACAACACAAAGACAACCCAAAGGTGATGGCAGTACTCATGGAGATGCGCTTGTCTTTCTTTCTTTTTTCGGAAGCACTCAACTGACCATGAAACAACATCTTGGGGAAATACACGTTAATCCCACTCCCAATTACTCATGTCAACGATGACAAATCGATGTGAAACAACGAGAAGAACTTCTAGTTTCATTCCAAACAACCGAAGTGGGCACTGGCATCATCAGAATCTAAAGTTCACCTATCACCGGGGTGGACTCAAAGCAATCCGAAATTTGAGTACCCCATCTAAACGCATTTGACACTCCCAATACATGCAGCTGCAAACGAAGCAAATGTCAATGAGGCTTCGGGACTCGAGGAAACTGGCAGGCCAAGCAAGCACCCTACCAATTCACAGCCGGAACCGTTCGACGTTTAGGGGATCTTTGGAAGACCGTGTTCCTCTCAAAGGGACTTTTGTTTCCCTGTCAGGTTCCATGTTCATCGGTGGGAGGGCCCTCCACCCTCGCTTTTCCGCGTTCGGATCCGCCGGCCCCGACGCTATGGCCCGCCCGCGATCGCCCGCGATCGCCCGCCATGACGCGGCTCCAGACTTTGGTCTCCAAGTCCAGCTGCAAAAGGTCGTCGTGGCGCACCGTGTCGTTGCCCCCGTAGAGGTAGATGAAACCTGGCAGACGAACATGCCTGCTGGTGCCACAGGCAGGGATTGCGGGAATGAAAGCAGAACGCAGAGATTCCCTGAAAGGAAACCAAGGGAGGGTTTATAGGGGGCATTCCCTCATTCCGCTGAGCACCAGCAAGTATGAGTCCAATGAATGGGAAAGCATAGGGTAGAGAAACATGTTTTCTTCAAGAAAAACAAGAAACAACAACAAACACTTTGCTGGACATCATTTGGTGAATCGTGTCCACCAACCACTTGTGTGGTTCCCTTGAATTCAGAAACATGTGCGTGGGTATGAAAAGCTAGCAATCAAGCAAGCAAGCAAGCAAGCAAGCAAGCAAGCAAGCAAGCAAGCAAGCAAGCAAGCAAGCAAGCAAGCAAGCAAGCAAGCAAGCAAGCAAGCAAGCAAGCAAGCAAGCAAGCAAGCAAGCAAGCAAGCAAGCAAACAGCACGCCGTTCTGCTGTTGAACCGACCCACCAAAAAACCAAATCCAATGGGAGCGTCCGCACGGACGGGAAATCACGGTGTTTTAGTGGATTTGCCTGTGCTGCTCACTCATCGCAAAGCCAGTTTTGCTCCAATGTAGAAATCTCTGGAGCCCAGTGCTTCCAGCATGGTGAAAGTGCCCTTCACTCAGTGCACAAGCTGCATTTTGGGGGGGGGGCGATCTGCACGGCGTCGTTCTTCTCCGCACATGCTTCGAAGAAATCTTATTTATACACAAATTATCACCACCAACGACTCATGGCGTAAGCCGGCGTCTTGCGAACAGCAGCGGCAGTAGCCACGAATGTTGTGAATAAACCCTAAGTGTCCAAATGAGCCAAAACAAACTGCTTGTCTGAAGTACTGCAACGTGCACTGAACCCTGCATGTCTGCCGAGACTGCATGTCTGAAGCGATCCAAACAGCGCCCACCCCCAACCACCCCCTCCCACCCAGAAACAAGGATGCACAAACTTACCCTGGCGTTCGTGTACCACAGGGGGCAATGCATGCATGTGTGCGCGCTGACAGCAGGACTGTGCAGCAACAATGAGGCACTGCGACAGGGATACGAATCAATGGTCTTCGGCATGATGTGGCTGACTCAGAGCAAGCGCAGCAGGGAGGCCGGGTACACTTGATTCCCTCAAATGTGCAAGTAGGAAACAAGAAAACCCAAATAACTTCCTACGGCGCGTAGTTCATGCAACAACTCGTTGAGATCACGCACCACGGTCCCACAAAAGCAAACATGTCCGAGCGGCCGTCTCGCAGCACAGCGCTGTGCGCGTAGCGGCCATCCGAGAGGTCCGTGCCTCGTTTCAAGCACAAGGCGCTGGCATCCTGAAGCCTTGAGTTGCTCAGTTTGGCTTCAAATGAACCCACCCCAACCTCACCCCCCAAACCCCACTGCAAGGTTTCAAGCAAAACGCCTACTGGCAAGCACAACAACTATGGCTTCTCAAAATGAAACTTGGTACGGGGAGCAGGGGCTGTCTATGTGATTTAGAGCTTCGGACAAAGCCATGGGCCATATCCCATGCACTATCCAAGACCTGCTTTCACCACTCATTGCAACATCCGAGTTGGAGGGTGCTTTGCCAACACAAGTTTGGCACACTGGCTGCTTTGCGGAGCGCTTGCAAGCAGCCACGCAACAATGTCGAGGCAAATGGCGGTACAGGCTTCTACCGTCTTCTTGCCCGACATTTACGGCCGTTTCGTTCACACAACAGTTGGCAGCCCAGTCTCAGTCTGGCAATTTTCAAAGGAGCGTAGCTGTTCCGAAACACTGCGTGTGAATGCTCATACTTCCTTACAAGCCACCAAGCCGTAGTAATCGTCGTCTTGATGTTTGACCCACATTTGCTTTTTTCTTCGGTGCGGGCGCACTGAGTGCCTCTGTGCCAGCTCCGAGACTCAAGGCCATCGTGTGGAACATGGCTCATATCAGTCTTCAACATAGCCACTAGACGGGCCGCACTGCTCGAAGATGCCCTTGCGGTGTATGAAGTACGGGCGGAAAAATTGCTCGGCCGATGCACAGTTCCTGCAGCCTCTCAACTGCGGCTGGCTGCTTTAGCGGCT